GCATTGTGGAAATATTTTTGCCATATGGCCCACCCATAATTAGCCCCCTAAAATCTGAGGCTTATTACATACTAAGGCTTATTATTTAGTCACTACAGGGACTTCAGTGCAAACTGGCTGAGCTATTCTTAGGTTATAGAAGTGTTTAATGAAACTTGGGCCTGCCAGTGGGCCCTGGCCATTTAAGGGGTTAATGACTAAACAGGGAAGGTGTATGAGAGAGGATGGATGACCACATGGGACTACATTCAATGACTATATAAGTCTGAAGACAATTAGCGTTATAAGCATTGTGATCAGTTTAATTAGGCAGCTCTGACCCACTTAATAGTGAGTCAACATCCACTGACAGCACGCAGCTGCAGAAAGTGAAAAACGGGAAGGCTGGGAACAAAGTGAGCGAGGAATGAGCACAGGCACAGGAAACTGCAGAAGGAAGAAGAAATCATGACGCAAAAGAATGAGGGCTTTTCCTCTGTGGCATTCTTTAGCTTCCGGTTTTCCATAGAAAGCAAAAGAGAGAGAGTGGGACAAAGAGTGAGTGAAGAGTATGTAGAAGGTGGAGTATGTAGAGAAGGATAAAAATAAAGATGATGGTAAAAGAGAATGAGAATGAAATAAACTGAAAGAGGTATGGGGTGAAAGGGGAAGAGAGAGAGAGACAGTGAGAAGCGTGAGAGACAGGGAGAGAGAGTCCTCTGATCCTGGGTAGATTCAGCGGCCATTTCCTTTTCCTCCCATTATTTCAACATCATCTCTCCAGCTCGAGGAATGCGTGCACGCAGCAGGGTGTGTGTGGGAGTTTGTGTGTGTGTGTGTAGGTTCGTAATGATGTCATTGGTGTCCCGTTTGAGGCCTAAACTCAGTGTGTAGCCCACCTCCCCCTGTTCCTGCCCTGAGAGGACCACACCCTCGAAGCCCACATTCCTGGATTCAGTCACATTTATCTGATGCTAGAGATAGCATGTATGTCTCTCTCAGTTCCGCTGAGCCACACTACGATCACTTTCAGCTACGCCAGCAAAAACCTTCACTACCAAAATTACATCTAAACTTATCAAACTTTAAAAAGTCATAAACTGACGAAAAATCAAAAGTGTACAATTTTCCCCTCGCTCTACACCATCTAAAAAGGGTACTGTACAAGGCCCCTGCAAAACTAGTGGCTACTTTACTTTCACAGTAATTAAATGGACCACAATAACAGTAAATAACAGTAAAATAGCGACTCTATACTGTGACTCCACAGTCACCTGCACCTCAAGATTACTGAGATATAACTGTGTTCTGCTTTACCCTCACAGTTACAAGCTGCATAAGCTCTCTATCGTTTTTACATAACAACTGTAAAAGTAATCTTACTAAGCAGCCAGTAATTTACTGTAAATTTACATATGAAAAAAAATACTTTAACTTTACCAGAACTATAGATGTTTTTTTGAAAATGAAAATTTAAGATACATCAAAAACCAATGAACATATTTATTTACAATGGTTTACACTCTATATGCTTAACTTTGCTTGTAATATGCAGAGAAATTACCAAAAACTTACTTCTGGAAACACCAATGAACAGTACTATTGCTTTTTTACTTTAAAAGTCTTTAAAACAGTGAAATAAAAAAAAAACATAATTGTCAAAATAAAACACTGTTTTTATTGCAACGTTTGCAGCTTTTTAACTCTCAGTTGCTGTCACATCCCATAATGCTGTGCTGTACAACTCAACTTCAACATCAGTGATTTGCAGATTTGCAGAAAATATCTTGAGTTGATTTCACAGTAAAAAGATAAATATTGTGAAATCCTGACAGTAATCAACAGTGTGCATTTTAGTCCACTGAGGTACAAACAATGTAAATGTGTTTCAATGTAAACTGTCCTTAAAGTCTAATTGTGGACCTTAAATAGTTTTAAATGTACACTACAAAAAGAGCGTATTTATAGCTTTTTTATAACAAAACTGTTTGTGAGTACAAATTCTGGAGTTAAGATGTGTCTGTTTTAAATCAAAGCAACTTAAAAATATAACTGTAATGGAATACAATACAGTAAGTTCTCTTTTTTCTGTTTTTTATTTGAATTATTTGCATAATTGAACATATTTTTGTAAATAACATGCTGTAATGTGGTGGGAGAGTGCAATATAGCTCTACTCACATAACAGACGCACAGTAATAGTGATGCACACCCTGCACTCTATGCTTTCTCTCATGCTGAACAAACATTATGCAAGTGAGCAAAATGACTGTCAGCCAGTCAGATTGTTGATATGTGGTGTGGAAGCACTCAAACTGCATACTGAAGATTCAATACTCAAACACACACTGAATGGGAGATTATTGCAATGGTTGCAAAAATTGATGTGAGTTGGAGATAATTACTTTTAAAAGCAATATTAGGCTGCTTTGGGGCTCAGATCTAGTCTGCAACAACACGCTGGCAAAGCAGCCAACAGCTGACAAGAGAAATTATTTAAATAGTGCTTGGCTAGCGCAGATTTTGAAAATGTATATTTTAAAAAAATTATGTAATAATACAAAATTCACCCTAAAACAACTACACATTACTTTTTACTATACTCAAATTTTTTGGTTCTTTTTTGGCAGTGGCAGTTACATTCCTTAAATCTGGGGATGCTGCAGCCCCCTCAGCACCCCCACATTCCTGACTGCTTATGTTGTTTCTGCCACTGTATGACATACTGTTCTATAAAATGGCCAAAAGTACAGTACATCCCTAGCCAAAAGCAATATAGCAGCCATGTTCAAGCCTGAATTTTGTCAGTACCTTTGTCCACTTAACATGTCTTGGCTGAGTGTTTACAATTAAGCATAATAGGACAATTATGTACAACTGATCTCTCACAGAACTGCCACTTTAAGTCAGGAGCACCATCGTGGAAGTGGACAGACATGCCTGACCATAGAATGATTCATGAAGGAGGAAGAGTCTTTTGTAACATGCTTCTTTGAGGAAACCACATTACCGTCTACCCCTTCTGACTCACTTATGTGTCCACATTTCAATTTTCAATGTTAGGGAACTGTACGTACCGAATTCCACTCTGGCTGAGTCACCGGGAATTAAAAGGCCTTTCCCATGTGTCACATCCCTTATATCTGACCTAATTGGTAGCTTGATTGACTGCCATACACCACAGTGGCCTTCCATGGCCTATTCAGTAACACTTGTTCCTCGTAACTGTGATCTCAAGTAATAAGTGGATAAACATTTTATTGGCATTAAATTCACACTGATAAATGTGCTTGTATGTTGAATAAAATCAGTGTTGAACCCTATTCATGTAAAAGGATCACATACCCAGCTGAGAGATACTGAAATCCTTGGAAATGGAAAATGGAAAAATCTATACATTTTATCGTTAAACTCTCAAAGTTGCCTAACTGATCTGTCCCATTTTCATTTTTGCTGGACGCTTGCGGTTTCGTGTTAAAATGTCAAGTTTCTTTACCTCCAAGTCTTTTCAGAGACGTTTACACATGCCTCCCATTGAAAGTCCTCACGTCTCACTGATTGTCTGGGGCTGCAGAGAGCTCTCTCTGTCTGGAGTTTGTCTGACGGTTTCAGGCCAGGCGGGATTAGAGCTGTTATCACCCTTTAAGAGCAGATTTCACCTGGAATTTGCACATTCCTTCATGACGATGGGGAGGTGTGGGATTTGATTAGGACGCTCTACGTCTGAGGAACCTCACCAGTGTTCTTCAAAGCTTCTTACTACCATACAGGCCCAGCTGGACATGCCTGAGTTGCTCTAATTTACAGTTAGAATGAGCCATTAACACACTTTAGGGTTGTAACTGGTGGAGTATTGGTCTAACCTTTGGCTTGCAAAGCTAACTAGGTGATACTTCCTTTGGTGATTGTTCATTTAATAGCTCTGAGTATCTCTAGAAAATATATTGATGTCAAAACGTTGGTAGAAGTGTTTTTAATTGTAATGTGCGTTAATGTTTTGGGCCATTCATCCTGGAATGTCCACACAATGTAAAGCAAACTTCAAATGTTGTACAAAGCTAAAAATGGGGAAGTTTCAAAGTTTTGATATGGCCATATATATTACCTTATACTATTAGTAATTATATTGCACTTAATACAAAAATATAGTTGTCTCTCTGTACAATACTGGTTGAATGGCTATATAAAGTTCTGGGAATGCTCTAGTAGACCACCACAGCTTGATTTAGGCAATGCCTGATGTTTTAAGTGCCATTATTTAATACCTGTTGCATCTATATGTAGCCAAAAAGGTTATATAGCCTACAGCATGTCTTAGGAATGTTTTATGGCAGTTCCAAGTACCTTTTAAGTAAATGTTTGATATGTTACATTAGAAGTTGTGACTGGATACCTGTGATATATCTGAAATTCTTGCTTTTACTGCTTCATACAGCTACAGTAAATTCCTTCAAGATAAGTCATAGATCCACAAAGTCTCTTGTGGCCGATGCTGTTAGCATTCCTACAATGTTAGAGCTGTCACACATGAGAGAAAAAAGAAGAGAGATTGTATTTTCCTGAGAAAAAGTGATACTAAGAGATAAAGAGGGAGGAATAAAGGGAGAAACTAGGGAGAAATATGGAGTACACTCCACAAGAATTGGCTCTTTGGGGCTGCTTTCGGTTCCATAAAGAAGCTTTAATGGAATGGTTCCTATATTTTATAAATGTAAGTGTAGAGTTCTTGAAGTTTAAAGCACCTCCAGCTAATTTGAAAGTTTTAAACTTTGTTAAAGAACCCAAGCCAAGAACCACTGAGGAGAAAATGGAGAAGAAGAAAACACTATACATTTATTATTAGTTGATCAAAATTACATTATACATGACATTTAATGGCATTGAGAGAAAAACGAAGTGTGAGAAGAGAAGTTGGAGTATGTGAGAATGCTTAGCAGCAAAGGCAATAGGGCGGGGAGGGGGGCGTTTAGAGGAAGAGAGGAAAAGGAAGCCCCATTCAGAAGAAAAGAGGAGCACTGGACAGCTGAAGAAAAGAGGGGAGGGGGGAGCTGGGATGGGGTGGTCCCACATAGGGTCTGTGTGTGTCAGAGTGTGTTGAAATGTGTGTGTTGCCCTCCTCCTTCACTCATTGTAATCCAGAAGCAGAGAGGAGGAGAAGCTTGGCTTGGCCTCGATGAGAGTTCACGAGAGAGTAACCTAAAGAGCAGCCAACTCCTTTTACTGAGAGAGACTTTCACAGGCAGACACTTTTACAACAGGACATTCTAATCAGCATCTCCGCCACAGACAACCGGCTTATTCAAGATTGTGGTTCTTTGATTCATTCTTGGACTTGAAGAAGGCTTATCCAAATGCTTGGGACAATAACTTTAACAGGTAATGTGTGTTTTCAGGTTCTACAGGTTTTTCAATTCATTTGTTGGCTGTTGTTGAACATGAATAACTTTGGGGGTTGTTGTGTGGTCCCAACTTTATACAGTCTCCAACATTTTAAAATGGAACTTCTTGCTGCTTTATATGCTTTATATGCTCATATGTTTTTATACATTAATTTAATGAACTTAGGGTGAGTGAACACCGTTGCACTTTCTTTCTTAGAGTGATGATGTTCAGCCAGTGTTTCTTCAAGGGCGTGGTAGTCACTGGCTTTAAACTAGTGCATCACTTAAGCAGGCAAGATAACACAGCAGGCAAGATAACACAGCAGGCAAGATATGGTTCACTTCATCAAGCCTTTTTGCAGTATAGTAAACATCTTTGGGTCACACTTTATTTGTATGGTCCCCTGTAGATGATCTACAGATATCTGAGTTATTACTAAACTTTCTGGTGATACACATTTAATTTTCGACAATATTAAGGTTAGGGTTTGGTTCAGAAGTAGGTGTAGATTTTGAATTTAGGGTTAGGGTTAGAATTAATAGAATATTTCACACACAATTTCAAGTTCAGTTGCATTTAATAGATATTTAATTAAACGTTAGTTAAGAGTTTGACCGAGCATCTACAGTGGACCATCCAAATAAAGTGTTACCCACTTACCACTTAAATAAAGTGTTGTAATTATTGTGTTCCAGTGCATCGTAAAGTCACAGTTGTAAAATTGTAGAACTAGTTAGGATTTTAAGAAGATCCAGATATTTGTGAAAAAATAAACCTGAGCATGTCTTTGTGATTAGAAAGTGCGCCCCCGTATTAGAAGACATTCCAGTTGTTCCGTAACGCCCCTCATCCATTCATAAAAAGCTCCACAAAGAGCACGGGACCAAGTTGGAGCATTCCATGACCTTATTTTTTGTATATGTAGCATGAGCAAACATGTTTCAGACAACTGTTCGCTCTAAATATACTCACACTATATATATGCTTCAAAAGACAACTTTTGAGCTGATGGGCTTTGGAAGCCTTGCATGTCTCTGTAAGGAATTTTAATTAGTTTTTTAAGCCCCTTAGATCTTAGTCAGGGTCCTCTTGAGGAGCCCCAGTGGGTGGTGTATGTATATGGGATTGATTACCCTGTTGCAAATGACTTAAGTAGGTTTTTGGAGAGGTTTGTAACAATTGCATGAGCATTAGTTGAATGTTTCTTTACAATTATTCACAATATATTTTTCATACCTTATTTTTATACATATCATCATAACATAAATTACATATTTATACAATGTCTTCTATACCCTTAGCAAAAAGCGTTCTATTTAAATAACCATATACCCAAGGTTCTCCTTCATTGAAAAGATCCAAAGAATCAGTAATTATACTCTTAAAAATAAAGCTGACAAAAGGGGTCCTTTGTGTGATGCCATAGGAGAGCCTTTCAATGGATGGTTCTTAGAGAACCTTTTGTAAATGTCATCTGTGAGTGTGAAGAACATTTTTTAAAGTTTAAAGAAACCTACTCAGAATTTGAAGTAGATAGAACCCTTTTTATAGAATCTTTACATAAAATGAACCTTTAAAAAATTCTCCCCACTCACATTCAAACATGGTTCTTTGGGGAACAAAAAGTTGTTCATCTATAGCATCATTCAAAGAACCTCTTGCATTTTTTTAAAAGTGTGCAAAGAATAATGTAAGCGTTCTTTGAGATGTCTTCTCTATTTAACTATTATCTTTAGAAACAAATCCTAGAAGAACCCTTAAGAAGTGTGGGTATGTGGTTAATTTCAGTTTTCATCATTCTCCATCCATATCAAATCAGTGGTATTGGTCACAGTACTGTACATCTTGACTTGTGCCACTGATTCTATAGCCAGTATCATCAGTATCACTAGGAAGATGTGGTATAGTCGTATAGGTACAGGCTATAGTCGTTTAGAGCCATAGTGGAATAAGGCACAGTCATTCAGTCTGGGTGGGGTGAAGTTCTGGCTTGGTTGGAAGTAGATAAACGGTACTGTTTGCTGAGTGCCACCAGACCCCAGACCTCAGGCTTGTTCTTCCTCAAGCAGGGGTACTAATTACTAGCCTGCAGTTGCATACATCTGTTTGCCAAACATGACAGACAAAAGGGGGGGTGGAGTATAGAGGGCATGCCATAAGTTAAGATCCCCCACCCCAAACCCTTGTGGACGATCCAAACCATTATCCCACCAAGAGTTCAGAAAACACCCCCTCCCCCCCCTTTTTTAAAAAACTCCATCCACTATGCTATATAAGCAACCACTAACAGAGAGATGGGATCAGATTCCTTAGCTCAGGTTTCAGTCCACTCAGACACATTTTAGAGACAGCAGCAGATGCAGGGCGGCTACTAGCTTCAGTAGCCTCTTGACATATTTTGTATATGTCTCCCTCTCTCTTTCATGGACACATACCCCCTCCCTGTCTCCAGCTGTTCAAGGCATCTAAGCAATGTAATGTTTAGTATGTGTGTATGTGCGACATACACTGACCACTCTGTCATTAGCTAACAGATAGGATTTGCCATCATAATGACATTAGACAATCTTCCTGATGGTGTTGTTCTATAGGGCTTCCCATCTATTGTGGTTGTTTAGTTATACAGCTAACACTCCAAAGCTTTTCAAACATAGCTTTTCTTCAACCACAACCACTATAGAGTTGCTTGTTTGTGTACTCCTCAATGTTTTTCCACTTTTATTATCTTTGAAGGACCTACCCTACTGTTTGATTAACAAATACATGGATGACGTGACAGTGTAAGGGCTGCTGTGGCAGTGACAATGATGTGAGAGCCCTTTTCAAGCCCACCCAACTATTCTTTCAATTCTCAGCATAGTAAGATTGTGAAATTCCTGGTTACGCATTGGCTACCACACTACTCCCCATCCTTTCAATTCACAGTGTGGTAAGATTGTGAAATTCCTATCAATCTTTTTATCGGCCTCTTTCTCTGTGCGACACATCCAGGGCTTTCGTCATGGCTATTTAAGTTTTAGGATGGACAATAGCATGGGGGGCCCCCATTCATTTTGACCAAGCCTGGAGAAGCCAGGGACCTATTGTGAAAGACCTGGGAGCAAAACAATGTAGTCTTTTTCTAGAAATTAAGGCTTTGTTTTTTTTTCAGGGGAAGGGTTGTTGTGTGGTGGGGGAAGTGAAATTACATCTTCTGAATTGCTTGGAGGAGTAGCTTTAGTTCATTGTTTCTTGATAGAATCTTTGTTTTTCATTTTTGTTAGAATATGCAGGTTAGGAACAGAGTTCTCTGGAGCTGCCTCAGAACACAACATGCCTGTAGTATGAAATTAAAGTCTTGCAATTTCATGCAATTTTATGTTTTAAGTACATCAGGAGTGTTTTATCTCTAAATTACATTTATCACCAAGAATGAGGTTTCATGGAGAATGATGCTAATTTCAGAGATTCCAATGACTATGTGAACTGAATATAGATATTTTCCAGAGAAGATAACAGTCAATGATGTAACCACTATGCAGGTTATCTCTTCTTGAAGACTCCACTCTATCTCAGTGCCTGTGACCAGAAAGTAAAATAAGATTACTTAAAAGGAAAGGATTTGATTTTTGATGCTATTTCAGGAATACCAAAGTCTTTTTCTATGTGTGCATGTTTGTCTGACTGTCTTTAGGTCTGTCAGTAATGAGTCAGGTAATGCGATACTCATGCAGTAAAACTTTTTTAGTTTTTAAAGTAACTGGGTGTGTTTCGGACCCGAGAGCAAGAGCAAGCAGAGCCAGATGTGAGCGTTCCCCAATGAAAGGATGGATGTCAGAGGGAAGCTGGGCCTCAAGGAGCACAGCACTGCCTGTGAACTAAAGTTCCCCTCCCTAGCCTGCACAGAACCCTATATCCACCCCACTCCTGTCAAAACACAGATAGACATGGGAGGAATTTCAGACGTGTGTGTGTCATGTGGTGTGTTTCTCTATTTTTCTCACCTGTTACCATGTGGCCTGTGGCCATTCAGTCTAATAGAGTACCAGTATGATAAAAGTCAAAGCTACAAAGAGATTGTATTTTTTACTTTTATGTGTTTGCTGCTTTCTTGTAAATTAGGTCAGTGCATTTGCCCAGACGTTTGGCAGTGCTTATGTGATTGTGAAACTTACAACAGAGAAATTTCCCCCTAAGGCCTTGTTGTTGAATTGTGTCATCATTCCTAAGCCTGTGTTTTGGCTTTTGCTCAGAGGAAAACATCAGCAAATCTAAGGCCAAGATCAGATTGTCATCATTTGCCTGATTAAATCTGTACAGGGGGTGAAAGTCTTTTAGGGAATTTTGCAGTTCCTCAACTTCAAATGTTTGACGCATCATCTTGAATTTATTATAACATTAAATAATGTATTTTCCATGTATTACCTTCTTTTCTCCCTTGTCAGTGATTAATATTAGGGTTAATGGCTGGAGATCAGCACAAAGAGATGGCCTGTTTGTTAATTACAATGAATAATTCATCAAATTGATGTGGTTATGTTTTTGTGTGATGTTTTCTTGTATAAATTACATGGTGCCAGGTTTTCTGTTCAGTTCAATAAGTTGTTAACTGAAACAGCTGTTAAAATTCTATGACATTGCTTTGTTTATTCTCTATTTGCAGTTGGCCAGACAGATGCCATGCCGCAGAAAGAAGACAGCCCTGAGACGATTGAAGTACTCCAAGATGAAGTTTCCCCTCAAGTTAATGGAGAGCAAGAGGAGGATAAATCTGTTGATGTAGAAAAATCTGAAGCAATAGAGGAGAAGGCAGCTGAGGAGAAGCCAAGTGAGTCTAACGAGGTGGGCTTCAAAAAGATCTTCCGCTTTGTTGGCTTTAAGTTCACACTGAAGAAGGACAAGAATGAGAAGACAGAGCCTGTGCAACTGTTGACAGTGAAAGAAACTGAGGAAGGTGCCTCAGAGGCTGCTGCTGAGGAAAGCAAGGAGGAAACTGTCACAGAGGAAGTGAAGCCTAAGGATGAAAATGCTCCAGATGCACCAGACACAGAAAAAGAGGCCACGACTAAAGATGCTGTGGAAGCAGAAGCAGCAGCCGATCTCCCAGCAACCGATGCCCCAGCAGAGACTGTAACAGATAGCAATGCAGAACCTGAACAGCAGCCAGCTGAAGAAACTCCAGAGAATGAGGCAGCTGAAGAAGTAGCAACAACTCCAGAGAAAGAGAAAGACCCAGAGGCACAAACTGAATCCCCCACCAGCCCACCCTCCCAAGAGATACAGTCCCCCTTCAAAAGATTCTTCACTCAGGGAATCTTCTCTAACCTGCGTAAAAAGACAAGCTTCAAGAAGTCCAAAGATGAGGAACCAGTGAAGGAGAAGTCTCTTGAGGAGGATATAAAAGAGACTGAAGAAAAAGCAGAAGAGGCAGTCGCAGAAGACAAAGAAGTTAAAGAGGATGTGGAAGAAGGGGCAACAGGTGAAAAAGCAGAGGAATCAGCACCTTCAGAGGAGAGCAAGGTTGAAGCAAGTCCAGAAGAACTGCCATCTAACACTGAGGATGAGAAAGAGGAGGAGCCGAAAGTGCAGGCTGAGGCAACAGTTCAGACTCAGCCAGCAAGTGAGACTGAACCAGCACAGGAGGCTGAACCTGTTGCTCAAGCTGTAGCTTGTGAGGTTGCAGAGACCCCTGTTACTGATGTTAATAATGAAGCCAAACCCACTGATGATACCAAACCTGCTGATGACAAGCCAAGTGAAGCTGCAGAAGAACAGCAAAGTCCTGAAAAATCTGAAGCAGAGGCAACCACTGAACCTGAAGCTGTGTCATCCCAAGAAAAATCCAAGGCTCAGGGAAGCCCACTGAAGAAGCTTTTCACAGGAGCAGGTTTGAAGAAGTTGTCCTCCAAAAAACAAAAGGGCAAAAAAGAAGCAGAGTCAAAACTAACAGAGTCTGGCGAGCAAGTAGTTGAGCAGATTCAGTCATCGACTGAGTCAGCTGAGCCACAGAAACCGGACAGCAGACCCTCCTCTCCAGAGCCAGAGGAATCTGGTGAGCATGTGGTAGAGGAGGCCACTCAGCCTGAGGCTAAAGTGGAAGCTGAAGGTGAGGCAGTTACCTCTGACAGTGAGAAGAAGAAAGATGGCATCCTTCCTTGGGCCTCTTTTAAAAAATTAGTCACTCCAAAGAAGCGTGTCAAGAGGCCATCTGAGAGTGAAGATGAGGCACCTGGAGACAAGCCCAAATCTGCCACCCTCTCCTCTACAGAGAGTGCTGTCTTAGATGACAAAACGGAGGAGACAAAACCAAGTGACGAAGTAAAGGAAGAAGCTAAGGAGGAGTCACAAGCTGAATCCAAGGCTGAGACAAAAGCTGAGAAGCTTGAACAAAGTACAGAGGAGCCGAAGAAAAAGATGGACACTTCTGTGTCCTGGGAAGCTCTTATTTGTGTGGGATCAGCCAAAAAGAGAGCAAGGAAAACCTCAGATTCTGATGATGATGAAACCAAGATAGAGGAAGAAGTGCAGCAGGCTGGAGAAGAACAGGCTAAGACTGCTGAGTCTCCACTTGGAAGTTCCCAGGAAGCTGACCATGAAAATTTAGCCTCATCACCAGAGCCAGAGGGAGAACTTGTGTCTACATGGGAGTCCTTCAAAAGGCTGGTGACCCACCGTAAGAAACCCAAAACAGAGGACAAGTCTGATGAAGCCTCAGGTCCAGAGCAGACAATATCTGACAGTGAAGTACCAAAAGAGGAGTCATCCTTTTCCTTTAAAAAGCTAATTCCCCGTAGGAAGAAGAAGTCTGATGCCAAACAAGGACCATCTTCTGATGTTGGATCTGCAGAAGAAGACTCTGACACCCCAGCTGTGGTGCCTCTGTCAGAATATGATAACGAACAATCAGAAAAAGTTGAAATGGAAAAGAAAGAGGAGACCAAGACAGAGGATGCAACGTTAGAGGCCACTCCAGTCACTCCTGCAAAAGCCTCAGCTGAAGATAGATCACCATCTTGGATTTCAGCTGCTGTGGAGAAAACTGAAGATGAAGCAGAGGGAAAGCAACTAAGTGACATACCTGAAGAGGGAGATACAGCTGCTACACCTAAATCAACTGATAACACCATTGCAGAGGACATTGTAGAGTTTACATCAGAAGCTGTAACCGCCCTCGAGCCAGCAGAAGAAACTGAAATGGTCTCTGCTGTCTCACGCATTACAGCATCACCTGTTACATCTGGAGAGACCACACCGGTTCCAGGAGATGGTGTTGTAAAGGCTGAAGTAATTCTCCAGGAAGCTGTGGAGACAATCAGTGTTACATCAAGTGCCATGGCTGTGACAGTAACTGAAGAACAGAAAAAAATTATTGCTGTCTCTACAAGCCCGGTCCAGGTTGAGTCTGCAATCAAAGAAGAGAAAGTGGTATTGCTTGCCCATGACAAAAGTGAAGCAACAGCTCTTTGCACTGGTCTTCACACCAGTGAAATCAAAGATGTGGAAGAAGAGAGCCCAGTGAAGGCTTCAGTAGAGTCTGTCTCAGCTGTTAGTGAAGCACTGCCAGTAGAAGTGGCCGTTGAGGACCAAACTCCAAAACCTGAGGAAGCTGGAGTGGACAAGGAAAATATTTCCGAGGCACAAGTAAATGAAGTTCAGGCTGTGTATAAAGAACAGCTTCAAACACCCATAGAAAATGCCGTGGAGGACACAGCACAGGTTGAGGCAGTGAAAGAGACATCAGAGGCTGAGATTGTGAATGAGCTTCAGGAGGCAACAGCAGTCAAGGTGGCTGTGGTCACTGCTGTTCAACAGGAAGCACAGATACTTGAGGAACCACTCGTGGCAGAAAACTCTCCAAAAGTGGAGACGGAGGGTCCAATTGAACCGTCTGTAGAAGAGCCAGTCTGTGCTCAGACTGTGGAGGTCACTGAAATTGCTGTTGCTGAAGGTGAGAAAGTGCAGGAGCTAAAGGACATTAAAGAATCAGTCGCCAGTGTTGAGGTGTTATCTGTAGAGAGTGTAGCAATGGCTGTGTCGGAAGAAATTACACCCTCATTAACAGATACCCCCATAGCTGAAACAGTTGAGTCTAAGGAAGATCTCATTCCTGTTGTGGCCCCAACAGAAAAGTCTGCAGTGACCGAAGAGATTGTTTGTGTTAGCCCAGCCTCAGCATCTGAAACAGAAGCAGAGTTAAAGGAGGAGGCTGTTATAAAAGAGGTTGCCACAGTTGAACTCACAGCTGATCACAACATCCAACTTACTGTAAAAGATGTTGAGGTTGTCACAGCTAAAGTTGAAGCTGAGGGACACATTGAAGTGAGTGAGAAAGTTCAGGAAGAGGTAGAACCATTGCAGGCCATGGACGCAAAGGAAGCAGAAGCCATTCAGGAACAGAGCACAGTCATTGTCCAGGAAGTCATTCAAAATGTTGTCGAGAATCTTGGTGAAATGCAGAAGGAGCAAGAATTATCAGAAAAGCCAGTGGAGGAGAAAGAGATTAGTACCACAGCATCAGAAGAGGCATCAAAGCCTGAAGATGTGCTGACAGCTTCTGAGAAGACAGAGGAAAAACCTGTAGTATCTGTTACAGCTGAAGAGGAAAAACCTTCAGCAGATTCATCAGTCCAAGAAGAAAAACCTGCAGATGATTTACCGGTCCAAGAAGAAAAAACATCTACTGAAACAACCTCTGAGAAGCCACTTACGTCCGAGACTGAGAACACAGCTGAAGAACAGCAAACTCGCGTAATCACTGAAAGATCACCAGTTGAGGTCAGTGAAGCCATACAGATTTCTGAAACCGTTCCAGTTGCTATTACAGACGAAATCAAACCTGAGCAAGAGGAGCTTGCCACAGTATCTGTGGATGCTGTGCAAAAAGATACAGATGTAATAAAGCAAGAAGTGGAAGTAAGAGAAGTTGAAAAGAACATTGAAGTTGCTGAGAGCACAGAATGTGAAGATGGAAAATGTCAAGTTGAGGAAGATCTTAAGGAAGTGCCAAAAGGAATCCAAAAGGTAACCACAGAGACCCCAGTTTCAGAGACGCCAGAAGAAACGGCCACCCTTGTCACAAAGCAAGCTCAGATGATAGAAGAGCAGTGTCAGGTTGAGACAACAATGGAAATGAATGTTGGAATCATAAATGTAGTGGATGCTGATGAAGGAGCAATCCAAGACACTGACACAAGCATGAAAGGCGACAGCTCGAAGAATCAGGTACAACTGGAAGATAAATCTCAAACAGTATTGGAAGAGTCTCAAAAGGATATTTCAGCACAGGACATGGAAGAAACCAAGGAGGAGTCCGAAGATGCCACCTGTCAAGAGACAGATGCTAAAGCCAGTGAGGTGAAAATGGCTGTCGAGGAGACAGTGAATGCCATTAAAGAGGAAGAGGTGACTGAGATACCGAATGAAACTGACCCTGCCTCCCCAGAGACTGCAACAGTGTCATGAGCTAGTGAGTATCTCTTGTCCAAAAACTCATTAACATTTGTATTACTTCTAATACTCCAATTTATTTTGAAACAAAAGCAAAAATTAAACAGCTTACATGTGTGTAAGCAGGAGGGCATTTCTCAAGGGTCATTTTTTTCATAGAAAGTGAAAAACAAGCCTGGGTTATTGTTCTGAATTCCTCAGATGAACCATCGCATTTTCTCATGGTTCCTTTTTAAAAACATCAATGGACCTTCGTTTTATTACCGCCGGATTTGCCGGCTTGTGAAATGAAAAAGCTTTTGTTCAAGGTACAAGTAACCAAGGGACCTTCGATATCAAAGCAGGAATGCCGCAGGCTGACCCTTTACTTTGTAGGCTGGCTCTTAAAGGGAAGCCGTGTGAAGGAGAGATGAACTTGTGCTGAAAGACTGATTATAATTCCCCCTCCCCTCCTCAACACACACTCCTTTTCTCTTCCCTTCATCAAAGCCTTCCATATGTAGTCAGGGAACCATGTCTAAGAACACCTATGATTCAATTGGACACATTCGATAAGTATTTTGCGTCACAAAAAGACAAGTTCTTAGTATTATACTGTATTTTCAGTAACTAGAATTATAGGATTATATAAAAGAGGTGAAAGGTAAAAAGCAATGCAAACAAAAGTGAAACATAACAGTGGGGGACAGAGAAGGAGAGGACATGCTCAGAGAGTAGAGAGGAGGCCAAGGTAGAAGACAGATGGGTGTGTCTGCTAAATGTTTGATGAGTGCTAATGCAGCACTGCAGTGGAGCAGAGGCGGGTGAAATATAGCTACGCAGCAGGAGGTTTGGTGCAGGATTCTCTCTCTCTCTCTCTCTCTCTCTCTCTCTCTCTCTCTCTCTCTCTCTCTCTCTCTCTCTCTCTCTCTCTCTCTCTCTCTCTCTCTCTCTCCTTCCCTCCCTCCCTCCATCCAGACACGCACACCCTGCTCTTACTCTGGTGATTCTTGCTGAGTCATAAAAACAGAGAAGGGGGAAAGAGGGGGGAGACAGGGAGTTGTGACGAAGAGGGCAGAGAGTGCAGGGGAGCAAAAACAAGCAACTGAAAACAAATGTTAATGTGGTCATGGCCTGATTGAGGGCAATATTTTAAAGTAGAGAAATTTTAAGCTATTAGAGAAAGACAGAAATGGAGTAATGGGTGTGTTTCTGTTCTGAATACTTCTGTCAGCACTACAGCAGCTCATGACCAGAGGGGGTATTTCACAAATCAGGATTTCTAAGTAAGCTGGACAACTTAAGCCAAAAGTGCAGACTATTCAAAAAGGTCTCCAACCTTTCCTCCTTTTGGCAAGGCTTGTGTTTTGGCTTAAGTTGTCTGGCTAACTGAGGAGTCCTAGTTTGTAAAATACCCCAGCTCAGTATGATCTTATATTTACCTTTCTTGAAAATGAGCAGTGATGGCCTTTCGTATTTTCTTAAGGAGGTGAACAGTTCATATCTTGAGCATGTGAAAAACAGTACTTCAAAGTGGTATTCAAGAGCAGGGGGTAATCGCATTGGGGCCTATGGCAAAGGGGGGCTTTATTGGGCCCCTTATATAGGTACTGACACAGTTATACACTCACAGAAATATTTAACAATATACCTCACCAGTAACATTATATATTCACTATCTAAAACTCTTAAAGAGAGTTCTTAAATAGACTTAAATGGACTAATGTAAACATTTTGGTTAATGTTAGATAGCTAGTTAGCTAACGTTTGCTAGTGGGTGGAGCAGCTTGAGAGCATCAGTATGTTAGATATAATAATAATAATGATAGCGAGTAAACAAGTGAGATATAATAATAACGAGTTACATTACCATTTTTAATTCTTTGAAAGTAATTTTGGTATGAGAGGTGTATGTTTTTTTTTGCTCTGGGGCCCATAAGTCATTATAACTATAAAAATATATGTTTTCTGTGTTTTGTATACTCATCACCTTTCTTTTCTCCTTCTGTCTTGTTTTACAGTCTACATGGTGGTGGTTATAGTGAGAACCATAGCATTCCGAAAAGCAGGAAACGAGAAGCTACTGCAGAGGACACAAAGAGATAGTGCTCTCAGAGCAAGAGACTAAAAGCTGGTCTCTATTCTTTCTCCCTCCATCCATCCATCCATCCATCCATCCATCCAAGACTCTACCCATCACATGATGTCTCAGTTATTGGCCTTCATTGGGGTACAAACACCCCGACACCATGCATTAGCTTCTCCAGATGGGTCAGATGCTACACAGCTAGCTTGTTGTTTTTCACAATGATCATTTTTATTTTTACTGTCCTGTTGTGGAGGGCTGCTGTTGGATGGAGAGCATTGTGTATGTTAATGTGTACGTATGAATGAGTGGTCTCTGCAGGAGGGTCCTTGTCTTGTATATTGTATTTATATCTAAAATATTCCCTCAGCCATCAGATTGAAACTCATTCATTCATTATCCTAAAGTAAGACTCAAAACAGTGTGTTTTTCAAACATGGTACATGTATTCACTCAGCTAAACATCAGTCATATCAAACCACTGCAAACATATGGCCATAAAATAATTTTTTTCAACCACACAAAAAGTCATGAGAACCAGCATAACCATTTCCATTCCTACTGTACATATAGTTATACTTCATTTCCTGACTGTGAAACGTATATTAGTCTCCTCATCTTTGAGAACCACATATCATGACAATAAAACACTGACTTCACCTTTAATATGTGATTGCTATTCTAGAACAGCAAATCTGATTTCTTGGTGTTAAAGAGGTTTGACAGCACTGTCCAGTAGCGCTCAGTAAGACAAAGTAAGTGCACCCGTGCATGTTCTGAGAAAGTTCAGAATATATGATTTCACAGTCCATAGCCACATACAAATGCACTTTGCATTGTTCGATTGGTTTGAAGTAGAGTGTTTCTCAACTGGGATGAGGGGAGTTTTAGAGGGGAGTCGCATAGTGCAGATGAGGTAGTGCATTGGTGCCATCTGTTGGTGACTCCAAGACTGGTTAGCCAGTCATATGACTTTCATAGGCACTCCCATGTTGTCTGATCTTGTTGATATTGCATTACAACACTTATGTTTTTATGTCTTTCGTCTGTGTATCATAGGCTAACAATATTATTCATCCTGAAGATGATAGTTTTGCCTTTTTGAATGCTTTAACAGTTTATTTGTAATGACTATTACCATGCTTTCAATTCTTTTACTCCCTAAATGTGAGATATGAACGAAGGAGAAGGTGATGGTATATGGGTTGGCAGTAAAACATTTCATCTGTCATTCATTCATTTCATGTTGATTCTCCTGCGATATTATTCAAGGAGAAGCCTGCTGATTTAAAAATAGCAATGCAAAATGTCTCACTTAAGAGCCACACATGAACATCCACCATGTGTCTGGTGATTTCGTCCTCTCTGATTCTTCACATGCAGTGTTTTGTGCTTACAGTGACACTGGGGCAAATTACAGAGAGCATGCGTGGGGATGACCGCAACAAGATGCTTTATTTTTGCAAATCACAGATGAATTAGTATAAAATAATCCGAATGACACAGTGTTCTGCTACTCTTGTCACAGCTTGTACGAACACCCAACTCGCAGCCTTTTTCTCAGCTTTTTATAGAATATTACTGTGAAGCTCCTTAACATTTGTACAAATTGTATACCTATGTATCTTAAGTCATATTATTGTAATATTAACAAATAACCAATGAGAGCATTAGACAATGTTATGTAGCATGATCTTTTCTTTTTTTATTCCACAAGCTGTTAATAGTATGGATACAGAACCATGTCTATATTTCATTCAAATAAAGTTAGCGTTGTAAAGCAATGCCTGTGATTTTTGAATCTTCTGCTCTTTTAATGCTTTGCTTTAGTGTTTCTCGACTACTGTTTTGAATAGAAATAGGAATATATTATATAAAATATGAAATTTTCTACATACAAGCTTTGTCAATGTGCAAACACATCTGTGTCATGTACAGTATTTGGACTAGAATGACACTCCTCCAGTTTTGCTTTAGCTGTTTAGCTCATTTTTGAATTCAAAAGAATTTGGCAAAAAAATCCAAATTACACAATTTTCCACTTACACCAGATGTAGTCAAACAGCCAAGACATGCTTGGTGTCCAAATTTTGCTCTTTAGTTTAGCACTGAGGCTACAAGGCTAACGTTGCTAACCAATGCTAGAAGACAATAGTCACTCAACTCCTTTTCATAAATACATCCACAAAACTTCTTGAACCACTTAAACATCTTAAACTTCTTAAACATCATTAAATGGGGCAACAGGGTTCAGGTCACAGTATGACTTAAATGAACAAAGCTTTACCGTGTAGCTGAACGCCATGGTCAGCCATTTTAGACAACAGTTGAGTCCCCACAGAGTCTGAGTCCCCTTTGTGTGCACACATCATGTAGGCATATGGATGCTAAATCACCTTCCTGGATCCTGTTGGTTTTGAACTGCCGAAGAAACCCGTAGAAATCATAAAGTGTTTTTGTTAGTTCCTTATGGTTTTGTGATGCGTTTCGGTTTTTTAAATGGGGTCATATCACAATGTAAAGGATCCTATTAGATCCTATTAGTTTGGCATGCTTTTCAAAGATAATGGCTGATTCTAAATGTATTTGATGGTTTCCTAATAGGACCTTAAGGTATTCTACAGGAAACAAGTGGTCTCTATTGGAACCCATTAAGCCAATTCCCATTGAACGGAGCCCTGCTGGTGATATCCCATATAAATAAAAATAATGCATGGCCACAACTTAGTAAGGCGTGGGAACAAGATAATTAAGTCATAGCCACGACTAAGTAAGACATGGGAACGAGATCCTAAATGTGGCCATGGCATAGTAAGATGTAGGGATGAGATAATTAATCCTTGACAGCTTAATAAGGCATGATCTCGTTCCCATGCCTTACTAAGTTGTGGCCACGCATAAGGATCTTGTTCCCACGTATTACTGCTATTTAAATGGGATGTCACCAGCAGGGCTCCGTAGCTTTGGGAACATATTTACGGAGAAAATTTGGTTGACCACTGACTTCTGATGTTTGTTAGCAACATTAGCCTCATAGCTCCAGTGTTTAAGAAGCAAAATTTGGACTCCAAACAACCCTTGGCTTACTGACTACATCTGGGGTGAGTGGGAAATTGTGAAAAATAGACATTTTGCCAAATCAGTCCTTTAAATAGTCTTGTAATGCATACTTGTAATGGTACTCAGGGATGCACAATAATATAGAATCATACCAGTTTAGCAGATAATTACTTAAAATTATCTGCATCAAACAGATGTTTAGATTTGACCAATATTTCAAACCAATAGAGCAGAATGTTTAGGAGACACTGGGCTATTCCACAAAAAGCATTTTGCTCATTTTCTGCATCCTCTATAGATAAACATTACATTTCTCTGTAGTTTTAATCAAGTCCCAATTTATACATTTTGTAACCATTTATGTATCAGCTTTGGCATGAGCATGTATAAGAAAAAATATTGATTATTAACACTGGCCCATAATTCCTGCATCATCCCTATGTATTTAGCATTACCTCTATAACATTCATTCTTTTTTCTAAGTTAAAATACATTGCGTTTTCCTCTTCTTTGGCGCTGATGTGCATTATTTTAGTTAATAAACAATAGGAAATAGTCTATATTTGTTGAAAAAGTTTTATTGTTCATTATTCACAATCAGAATGCAATGCAAATCTTTTCAGTAATTGTTCATGTTCCTGAGGACCTGAAGATCACAGTATACTGTCTGTCTGCCTTCGCTTTGGGGTTTGTGCGCTTGAGGAGTCAAGGGGGGGGCAACTTCTCCCCCTCACTTTAACTGCCTCAAAATAATTTCAGAACAGAATAGATATTAACAATTTGCATATTTACAGATACTTAACAGTAACAATGAAAAGCAAAACATGGTGTTTTACACATGCGTGACAAACAGGACTCAATAAAAGACATCAAGGATCTCCATTATAAAGGAAAATGAGAATAAAGAGAAGCATGTCGTCAAATCCCAGTCTCAATCAACCATTCAGTAGTAATCAAATTCACATACAACCCTATTGATACAGTCACAAAAGCATTCCTGACTGCTGTAAGACTGGTGAAGAAATAATACTTATGAAGAGACTTAAGATAAGTTCAATACTTATCTTTTCAACTGAAAAGTAAAACATTTTACCCCCTTTTTGTTCCCCAAAAATGCCATTTAAAGTAAATAACTTCTTCATTCGAAAAGCTGCTCATGTTTTTGGGTACTGCTGGCATTTAATGGAGGTTGCAAGTCTACAACATTGTCATTTTGCCTTGAATGATCAGTGTCTGTTTACAACCAGACATTGACAGTTGACTTATCCTGCAATTTCTTGTCTCACTTTGCTTTATGCTCAGGATTTCATCAAGAGTAGTCAGGTCCCTAGAAGATTTCAGTGCTTTGACAGCAGTGGCAAAACATCACTGGCAATCTAAACTGAACAATGAACAAACAATAAGCAACAGCAGATTGTAAAATTCAAACCAGACCAAAAATATCAATATAAAGACTGTATTCGCAGACACAACAAATGTACATACACTTGTGCTACGCTAAAATTGATTATATTCTACGCTGAATGCATTTTGCAATATACAACATTTGCCATATAAAATATTCTTTGTAAATATAGTACTGTGTATAAAATTAGAAAAGTTATACCAAACTCAAAAATAAGGGCTTTAAAAACATTTTCAAGCAAAACATTGGATTGGCAAATAAAGAATGATATCGCTAAGGACAGTAAATTCTCCCTTGAAGCTGAGATACTTCTGCATGTGTAGGATCACCCAGAACGCCTTAAACACACATATATTTAGTAACAGGCTTAAAGAAAACGGTGATTAAAAATGAATTAATAAAAAGATGGCACATATGTAAACATTTATTGACACCAGTTCTAGAGCCAGAGCTTGTTTAATACAGAGCCATAACTAATGACGATTATCACATCCTGCTAATTTTGTGTGGCTAATGTGCCAACACAGTTTAAAGACACCCAAGTTGTGTTGGCACAAAACACATGGAAAACTAGCATTCAGGTAACAGACTGGCATTCAAGTAAGTGACTAACTGCACTAGCTCGTCACTTGAAAATATACTATCATTTTCCGTTTCATAAGGAATCTCATTCAGTCATGTAAAGAATACCATTTTGCGCTTGCTAATTCTATGCAATACCGCAAAGCTTTTTCTTTTGAGGACAACTTGAAGCCTTTCAGGCAACTGTGACTATGACTTCTGCATTTTCAACCACAACAGACAAATAGCTGTGTGATCCAAATTGGGTTTATTATAACAGAGTAATAGAAGCAAGTCTAAAATTGAATTATTTTACATCAGTTCACCCACATTGAGGTACTGTTCAGATGCCTTTGCCTCAAAGGCTCTAAGCAATCACCACATTTAGCTGCCCAAGAGAGGGGACACTGGGGAGATGATATATAACAGAAGGAACAACATACTTTGGCCAGTAGAAATAATAAAAATATACTGAGAATTACCTCATTCGCCTATTGCTTAAAATTCATGATTTTATTTAGCTCACTCAAACTTTTGTGTTATCATAAGATCATACAGGGATGGGAAAACCAGCCCCGCTTTAATCTGATCAGGTCAACTTACCCAACGAGGGAAATACAGAGTGACGAGAAGCGTGATTACTACAATTCACTTCCTCTTCTTGCTGGCCGTTATAAAGAGGAAAAGCTTAAACCACAACTTTCAACATGTGAACAACCAGAATTAGCCACTCCAATTCAGGAAAAAATAAAACCAAGCAGACTGAAAAAGTAAAGCATGTAGTTGTGTGTTTGAGCTTCTTGTTGTAAGAAACATCTCAATTCCCTGCTTTCACTTTTCAAGATCGCATAACGCTGGAAAAGAAACAGAGTCAGTAGAAAAAAGTCTCCTACAACATACACATTACTCTTTTTCCCACCTATATCGTTAGCTTAATCTATCTGAGTAACCCCAAAAAAGTGACACATTTAGGAAAAAAAGGAAAACGATTACAGAACAGGTGGTATTATTCCACTACGACCTCCTCAGTTTTGATGGCCGTTACTAATGGTCCACCACTAGATGAATCAGAACCCTCATCTTTGGCCACTTTGTCACTATTTAATCCACTGACCCCCATTCCCAAAACACTCCCGTCAGAGAGCGTCCCCTGGTTGAAGCACAGGTGCTTGATGACTTCGTTGGGGTTGGAGAAGGTCATTTCGCACACGTTACACTTGTACGGTCTCCCTGAGGAGCCCAGGAACAGCGCCTCCATCTGGCTGGAGTCGTCAGCTGCACACAACTCCATGCTCTGCCTGTCCACCATAGTGTAGGCCAACTCAGCCCCCTGGCTCAGGCAGACGTGGCGTGCCGCCTGGTTGGCCCGGCAAAAGCTCTTTCCACAGGCGCTGCAGCGGTATGGCTTGCCTGTGTGGATATACATGTGCTCCCGCCAATGGCTCTTCTGGATGAACTTGCGTCCACAGGTGGAGCACTCGTACTTTCTTCTCTTGACCTCCCGCTCCACGTCTGCCGCTCCTTCCAGGTTGTCGATGTCAGCTATATCTGACGGGGGAGGTGTGTCTGCCTGCGGCTGGGCTGCACATAAGCTCGCCGCTGCAGTTGTAGGGACCGCGACGGCCGTTTCGGCACGTGGGGAGACTTTAGCGCCAGAAAGAGGCTGCTCACCATCACTGACCATGTCCACCATAATGGGAGTGGCTGCAGCTGCCCCAACACCTGTAAGAACTTCCTCAACCTCAGGTGTAGCAGCTCCTCCAGGCATTACAGGGGAAGCTGCACCTCCTGCCTCTACCACTAGAGGGGGCACAGCTTGGGTATGCCAAAGGAGATGTTCCCTTAGAGCCCCTCGCTGGTTGAAGCGACTCCCGCAAACATGGCAGGTGTAGTGCTTTCTGAAAGAAGAACTTCTCCTCATGATGCTGGGCTTGACGTGAAGGATGGTGTTGCTGCTGACACTGGCTGAAGCAGATGGAGTCTCACAGGCTGATGCATCCACCTCATATCCTTCTCTACCAAACTGAATATGGCTCATCGACACCTCTACTTCCATCTCCGGCTGGAGTCTGGATCCAGACCCTGCCTGCGAGAAAGACGTGTTTGTGGAAGCGCTTTTCCCATCAAGCACACCAGCGCTGTCTGAGTCAATGGGTGAAGACTGCCTCCTGGCTGAGAGACGGTTGGACACAGTCCCCTGCTGGTCTGATATCTGGATGCCATAGAGAGAAGTGGAAAGTCGAATGCTGGGTTCAGGATGAGAGAAGGCTGCTTGGCTAGCTAAACTAGCCTCCTGGATGAGGGGGTAGGCGTGCAAGAACTTCACGCCCTGCTCTAGCCGGGCGGGGTCTATAAGCTGAGGAGCCAGTTTACCAGTGTACATCAGGTTGAGGAGGTAGCTGAAGATATCAGGCTGGATGTCTGCAGGCTTCAAACGGACACAGTCGCTGGAGAATACAACATAAACTCATAAGAAAAACAGAACAATGCTGCCTCTTGGACATTAACAGTTGAAAGCATAAATATTTAAGCATTTTTGGCAATTTTTGCCAAAGGGAACAAGGGCCTAACCCTCCTCCTGAAGATCTATCTCTGCAGAAATTAGATCCAATCTTAAACAGATTTTTTTATTTCTGCATAATTACATTGTTAATATGTAAACATGGTTATTCAGAGAGCTTTGATGTGAAGTGCTCTGTTCTAGAGGGACCTAAAGAGAAATTCCACCAATTTCTCAAAATATCTGTGTAACTAAATGGTGAAGATGTAAACAAAGTCACTGAGAGATGTGAAATTCTGTTCTAGAGAAGCTTGCTGTGTCATAATTGTTCACAGTGGTGGTGATAGGAACCAGACATCTGAAGAGTTTTAATGCCTCTAAAAGCTCCCTCACACAAAGCTATTACATGAAATAGTTATGAATATGCTGGCTTATACTTGAGGTACTGTTTTCCATTAGTTTTGCAATAGGTTTTGGCCCATAAAGTGTTTAAAAAAGGTACATGCAGGGTGTTGTAAGGCAAAACATGACCCTATGAAAACATATTCAGGTTTATCAGTACCGTCATCGGCATTACATATAAAAACTAAAAAGAAGACGTGCAGGTTCCCTGGTGGTGTTGGACAGTAAATAAAATGGCTATGTTTGCATTCCCTGGTATCTACTATTTCCACCACTGAAAAGAAATCATATTCAGTAAATTTTTCTACAACTAATTAACTTAATTTCAAACCACTCTGTTGTGCTCTGTTTACTTGTCTATATAATATAAATATGCTGAAATTCTAAAAAATGTCAGGAGTACATAACATTGTAGCCACTAAACTAGATTAAAACTATTGAAACTAAGCTACAGAACTAATAATACTTGTGTTTAGTCTCTCTATACTTCTGTATAAATCGTTTGATAAGCTTTTTGCTAACCAGAGCCAAGCCGTGTGTTCAGTTACCTGTCCTGGTGAATAAATAACATTCTGAAGTAGTTGGAGAAGGCGGCCAGCACAGCCTTGTGTGCTTTAAAAAAGACGTCACCAATGGCAACTGTGCAGTCACACAGGAAGCCAAACTCCCTCTGTGCGTTGAGCTGCTGCAGGAGGATAAGACCATGGTTGGCCAGCTCCATAGTTCCACCTACACAGAGGGGGGCAGAGATGACAGTCAGCTTCCTGTCTACTGCAGACCACAATGAACCACAAAAAGGAAAAAAAGCCAGCATTAGAGAAGGCCTTTTGAGTAGATACACAAACAGCAGCTTAGCAGACACAACAAGTATATTCAAATAGTATCACATTCTTGGCAGTTCAAATGGGACAGTTTTTGGTAAATTCTTTAGAGGACTCTCATAAAAGCTATGTAATAATGAATTCTTTAAACAAATTCTGTATTTATAGAACTGTATTGTATCTTATAGTTAGAACTGTATTGAATATGTCTGTCTTTGGGTGAGAGTACATCTGCTACAGCCTAACAACATTACAGTAAATTCCTATGTACACCAAAAATGTTCACATTTGGCTAACTGAATGACGAGCATGAACTAAACTGGATTAATATTTTTTAAAACAAGAGTAATGGACTTTAGCACACTCCATGCTCTGGCAAGAAATTGAAGATGATTTCCTCTCTGACTCAGTCTGCTCATTCTTTGATACTCCTTTCATTCCATCTTCTGTCCAGTGATCACCAAGTTTCCCTTTCCACTGTCTTTTTCCGTTGCATCTTCTTTACCTTTTTCCCTGACTGTTCTGGTTTAGGTGCCATTTTTCTCAAATTTATAAAATGTAAAATTTTGTCCCGATTAACTGCCCAACCAAGCTCTGATTGAGCAATCGGATGATCGGATGGATTTCTGACATGTCAGAAAAATTTTAGCCGCTTGTCTCACAGTCTGAGCCGCCTCACAAACCGATTTCCCAAAGTCGCAGCAAAAAAACTATAATCACAACCCCCGCTCCTACACGGAGGCAAAAAAGTGGACATTTGTGGCACCAATTTCCATATATGCCGAATTTGCTGTTTGACTCGAATTGAGTTGAATTGCGAGGTACAAATGAATACTGTGATATTTTTTTGTCTTCACAGAACTGTCTGTAGACCGCCTGTTCTTTAGCTTCAGTGCACAGTGTGGCACAAGTTAGCAAAGCTGTTGTATTGGTTTGCCAATGACTGAATCTCAAACAGCCGCCTGGTTCTTATGTAGTGGCTTCTACACCAAAATAGTGCGCTGTTTGAGTGCAGGAGCCACTACTTTAATATGTGGTGCAATATATAAGGCAGCCATCTAAGATTTAGCCCGTGTTTCTGCTCGGAACGCAGTGTGTTGTTTTCAGTGAAACAGCTTCATTGGAAATTGTCTGTAGACAGAGCATCTGTAGTGGCTGCATTTCACACGCAAAGCACCCATGTTGCGTCATGTCCGTCAGACCAAGTGGTTACATACAGTGTGACCATCTAAATCGCAGGCGTACATACAGCGCAAGTTGTAACCCAATAACAAGACTTCTAAAATCACACAGTGAATGCCTGGCTTGAGGTAGGATACCATTAATAATATAATGTTGGTGCCTATACACATACGTAATGAGGCCTGTTATGAAATATCTCAGCTTAAATACACTGAACTGTTAAGTGCCAGCGAGGTCATGACACATTAGCACTTAAATTTTCTAATAAACTAATTATAAAATACTGAAATACTGACATTGATCATATTTTTAATGTACATGCAGAGCCCTTCACAAACATGGAAATCATGAGCAAAATGATCTGTACAAAATATTCTTAATTTCTTATCCTTTTGATCTTTTATTTAAAACATTAGCAGAATCTAACCTTTTTTATATGCTGATTGAAAGAAAAAAAAATTGTCAAGAATTGTTTTTCTTAAATCTACATGTGCCACAATTATTGGCACCCCTAGAAATTCTCAAGAGTGAAATCTTAAGAATTCACTCTTAAGAAACTGAAGTATATTGCCCTTCAAAGGCATTGGGCAACTTATTTGGATACATGGTATCAAAGACTCCATCAAGTACCAGCAAGAAATAAAATCAAAACCTGACTGCCCTTAGCCAGAAAACTTAAACTGGGCCATAGTTTGGATCTTACAGCAAGACAATGATCAGAAGCACACCTTAAAATCAACACAAAAATGGATCACTGACCACAGAATTAAGGTTTTGACAAAGCCACCCCAGTCTCCTGAACTAAACCCCACAGAAAACCTGCAGGATGAGCTGAAGAGGACACAGTGCGGACCTCGGAATCTGAAGGATCTGGAGACGTTCTGTATGGAGGAATGGTCTCAGATCCTTTGCCATGTGTTCTCCAGTCTCATTAAGCACTATAGGAGCAAACTCAGCGCTGTTATTGTTGCAAAGGGAGGCTGTGCAAAGTATTAAAAGAAGAAATGCCAACAATTGTAGCACACATAGGTTTGAGAAAAATATTTATTTTTCTAGTAAGATTAGTTTTTTTCAATCAATGTACTTTAAATAAAGGTTAGATTTTTGTTAATATTTTAAATGAAGAACAAAAGGATTAGTAAAAAAATATGTTTTTACAGCATGTTTTGCCTGGATAAACATTATGGAGAAATACTACATTTATTTCGATAGGGCTACAAATGAAGTAAAATTTATGAAATGCAGAAATTTCAGCACAGTAGTCCAGTGCCATCTGAACATTCTGCTTATCCAGAGTACAATAAAAACATTCGATTAGTTCCAGGCACTCAAAAAGCAATACAGCCTAAAGTTTATTCATCCTATTTTACCTGATACCCACTTTTGCTGAAGCAATCCTACCTAAAAATCAATATTGGGCAATAAATCAAATATTGAAGTTCGGCCTCTAATTTTTTAATTAATAAGATATTTGACCATAATTGTGGTCAAGATGATTGCCGAGAGACGCTACAGTCGATCCCACTGAGCTCAAGCCATGCTGAGACACTGTATGTCAGGATGTTTGCTCTGTACGGGAAAACGGGATGGAGCGGGTGCTTTTCATATTGACCCATGCACAGAAGCAGCCGGAACTCCCCCCACAACCGATTTTCTCCAGGGGATATGAGTGGACAGGGCGGGAAAAACCGGGGAGGGGTGAGAGTCGATGATGTAGCTATAATTAGCTGAGGGGAATTTTGAGTTTATGCTGTTTTCGTGACTGAAATGAAAAACACAAAGGGTCTTCAACTTGTTTAAAGTTTCATGATTTTCTGCAGTTTTCAAGAGTAAAAAAAGACGATCGGGCAGCTGTTTTCCCTAATTTTTTCCACTATTTTGTTCCAGTTTAACACAGCTAAACTGCCCATATGCTTGCCTACTATTGCATACCACTAATCTAGGAGGCTGAAAGACCACAAAACCCTCAGCAGATGCATTCAAAGCCTTGAAATGCACTGTTTCAAAAGTACTGGTTATGTAGCATTGCTGATCGATCTGTGGACTGCTCACAGCTGCTGCTTAAACCTGAATTCGAGCTGCAGGGTGGACCAATGTGCCGAACGGTGCTATGACTAGGTGCAGCCTCAGGGGGGGATTAGACAGCTTTAGCTCCATGACATCCACTTTTTTTCACTTTAAGTCTTCCAATCTGACCTTTTGGTCACTCTGCTGGGGCAGAGATGATGACTCAGATGATTCTAAACCTTGTTTCATTCCTTCAGTCTACTTGGACCTTTAACAATTAAGAAATATCCTGGAGGACCTGCAAGTGTGAACACGTTTAAAATTTAAATTGAAATGCCCACACCCCAGGTTCCTGCCTTCCAAAACATTCGCATTGTGAAACTGTCTTCCACAGATCTCATCTCAGAACACTATTAAGATTTTGTAGGTCAGGGGTCATGTCTTCTAGGTCTGGAGGCCAGCACAGTTTTGTGATTTTGTTGCTACAACATACCAGATTAAACCCAGCAGGAAAAAGGGAATTCAAATTATTAAAATGCATCAGATTATGAGGATGTAAACAAAGTAAATCAATGTGGTATAATGTGAAATGCTCCATATTGGAGAATAAGTGGTGGTGACAGGAATCAAATGCCCCTAAAAGCTATCTAAAGTCCTTACAATTTTTTTAAAGCTTCTCTATATATGTTTTGGGGATGCATGCAATGTGCAGAAGACATCTCTTATCGATAATGAGCATATTAAACCAGTATTCAAAAAGAACTAAAATGCTGATAAAAGACGCGGTTTCCGAGGAAGTAAGTGAATTATCTACTATTATAATCATATGGTTTGAAAAACTCCTGTGACACCTCTGACTGTTTAATTATTTTTTTCAGGTTTTACAGGGTGTTCGCAGCAGTGCACAGACACTATATTTTAGTGTATGTTTTTTTCTCCTGACTCAGTAATGCTACTTCTTTCAATTTTAGCTAAAATATCTTATATGGTGCAGCTTTAAGATTTACAATAAGGTTTTGGGATTGTAAGGCAAGACAGTATCCAAATAAAACCTACTTTTGGATTTACCACTATTTCACTATTATCAACATTGCATGTAAAGACTCAGAAGACACACGTAGGTTCACGGGTCACTATGGATAGTAAATAAAATGGCTATGTCTGTGTTGTAGAGAATGCAACCCCTGGTTCCAATAGTCAGTACAATGCACCATTTCACATCAAACCACTCTGAATGACTTTGTTTACATCTTAACAACTAAACTGCAGAAAAATTTGTAGAACTCCCCCAAAATTCAGATTTCATGATGTATTTGAACAGAAAAAACACCAAACTTTGCTGAACTCTGGCCCCCCAAGACCTGTATCACCTGAACAAGTAGCTCTACTGCACTGTAATCAATTCTCCTTTTCCGTGAAGGCAGCTTCATCCAAGTCATGAGTGGAATGACCTCTGACTCCTTGCAAAGCAGAAGTTTTAGGTCTTCTTTGTGCATGGTCCACATAACCAGTCATGCTCACTCCTTATAATTCCATGTTGGAAAATGTACTGGTGGACAAAATTGCAAAGGTGAGTCGGTAAATTTTATTTAGGCTCTTTTCAGCTACTTAAAGAAAATAACAATTGATTTCAACTCAGAAATCCTGACTACTACTCAAACTTCAGCACCCTATCTCAACAAGCAGGTCAATATCTGACCTTTGAACGGCTCTGACTTGAGCATTTGATGTCAGAGGCTTCGCAATGCCTAATCTAAGATCATAACAGTAGCACCTTCAGTGGCCACTCTGGCCCTGCTGCTGTGTCCGTGCATGACCCTAAAGGTCAACATGTACCCACAGCCCTGTGCGTTGCATGATTAGCATTACACATGACATTCCACAGGGTACCGTCTCTTTGCTGTGGGAATGTGAGAATGGAAATAGTCATGCACGTTCTGCGTAACGTGCGCGCCTGTAGGCTGACATCTGCAAGAGGCGCCAATGTCAGGCAGCTTTGTGTTTGACTATAAACATACCATATGGGTCACAAAAATAAGACGCACTGTACCATTCTTTTAACTGCGTGTGATCACTGCTGCACATAAAAGAACCCTTAACACCTACACAAAAGCAATCTGCGTAATCAAGAAAAGAACTCAAAAAAGTACCGATTTCCTTACAGTCCTCAGCATCTTACAAAACTGCAGGAGAGGTTCTTAGTACACGCAGCATCTATCAGCATAAGAACTGAAGTTGTTTTTGGCTTCTTCTCCGCTTGCGATCCTTTTTTGTCTAAAATGCTTACACTCAATAAAGAGAGCAGTCGAGGCGCAGAAGCAACAGAACAGAATGAAATTAAACTCCAAAATAATTCAATTAGGAACTAAAGCAGAAGCTGAAGATAAATCTGTAAATAATTTTTAATTCCCCCCAAACTTTTCTTTTCACAATCCTTATAATGCTGCTGGACTAAGTGTTTTAAAGCTAATTATTAAAACATACAGTATTTACCACAACACACTGACAGCCACTGAGGCTTTACCTTTTAATTGTGCCACATAATATTTTCTTGTTTTTGGTTCACTTCCTTTAAATTTGCAAGGAAAACATTTAGGTACACTGTTAGAAATAAAGGTTCTGCGCTGGTACATTTTTCAACATTTTTACAAACAGTGGTTTTGAGGTTCAACTATGTACCTTAAATAAGTTTTTCCTGGGTGAAAAGTACATATTTGTACCTTTTCATAACCTCATGCTTTAAAACAGAACAATAAAATAAAAAGCCTGGAAATGAGACGGGGTGTGTGGAATCAATACAATTCAGAAAATATCATTTCAATGGATTATGGTACAATTATGTTCCCTGACTAAAGGTACTGAGATGTACCTTTAAGGGGACCGAGTGGTACTGCCCCAGTGACAGTTTTGCACCTTTTTTCTGAGAAACTAAAAAAAAACAAAAATGATAATTATCAGTACCAAGCAAGCGATATGTGGACACACTGCGGTAATGGGAATTAGGAGAGGAAAAGGAAAAACAGAGATTAATAATTTAACGTTTTGCTCCATCGTATAGAATTCCAATTAATCTACATTAATATCATATGAACAGGGTCCATCTGATTATAACACTCAAATATTTATAGACGCGCACTGAGGCTGTTTGGTGAGAATGACCCTTTAATATAAGCAGTAAATCCTCCAATCCTGTCCAGTATCGTGGACCTGAGGAAGCTACCACGACTACGCAGTTTTACGGTGGTTCAAAGATGCAAACAACACCAACATCTTGGTCCAAACAGCAGCTCTGGTTGTAAATAAGCGCCGCCTCCAGCTAAGACACGTGGAGAGGACCGATCTCCCGCAGAGAGAGACCACTTCCGTAGCAGGGCGCTTTTTTTCCCTCCCCTCTGCTAGCAAACAGCAAAGAAACCGTCAGAAACGAAACACGACTGGGTGGTTAAGGTTAACGCGTGGTCTGCTACTGCTGTAGAAAGTAGCCATGTCCTAATTCAGCCAAAACATGGGCTAAACATATAAAAAAAACAAGAAACGTTTGCTCTGAAAGACGACCGAGAAGGACACGAAGTGGAAAAAATAATAAACGGCGCCTCACGAAACGGTCACATACGCAGACACAGACAAGGAGGGGGTGGAAGGGGTGGTCACCGAATAAAATCATCAAACTTTGAGTAAATTAATATGTAGAAACGTAGCCGAGAGTGTACACGTTTAGTTCGGTAAGCGACTTATAATTTTGTTTTTAAAAATCCGTACCTTTCCTCCGGCCTAATCCGCGGACTTTGCCGTGTTTGTTGTTGTTGTTACCGGGATTCGTGTCCGTTGCCCTCGCAGCTGCTCTGCTCCTCTAAAGCGCAGCATTGGCGGCGATGGTTGTCGGTGTTTTCCGGTCGGGTTACGTTACAAATCACATGACTAAGGCCGAAGGGGACTTAAAAACGGCAGTTTGTTGCAGCTTGAAGCCTGAGTTACCCCCTAACGGGCGTCTAGGAGAACACAAAACAGCGGTAACGTCAGGAGCTCTCGGTGAGCGGAGAGTGAAGTGTCATGTTGCCGTTCGCCATGTTTAACTTAACAGCAAAGGCGCGTAAGGAGGAGGAGGGGGCGGTCAAGAGGACGGTTTTTAATCCCCCGTTCAAGTCGTTGTGTTAAACATATGCCGATTCACTGAGACGAGGCTGAAGTTGGCTTCTTATGCGAGTTTTCCGTTCCATCTTAAATGGTACAGTAGTCACAGTCTTATTGTAATTTTCCGTTCCACCTTAAATGTTGCAGCAGTTACATTCCTACTCGCCAGCTTCTTATTTCAATTTTCCGTTCCACTTTAAATGGGGCAATAGCCTAGTCATATTCTTATTCGCCAGGTTCTTAATCGAATTTTCCGTCCCATCTTATATGATGCAGATTATGCTGTAGTCACATTCTTATAAGCCAGCTTCTTATTTAAATTTTCTGCTCCGCCCTAAATGACTGATGCAGTGGTTATATACTTTGCTGTATTTAAGGTGGAACGGAAAATTCAAATTAGAAGTCGGCGAATGACAGTGACTTCTGCACCATTTAAGGTGGAACGGAAAATTCGAATAAGACTGTGACTACTGCCCCATTTAAGGAGGAACGGAAACTTCGAAAAAGACTGACTACTGCACAATTTAAGGTGGAACGGAAAATTCGAATAAGACTGTGACTACTACACCATTAAAGGTGAAACGGAAAATTCGAATAAGAAGCCGGCGAATAAGAATGTAGCTACTGCACCATTTAAGGTGTTACGGAAAATTCAAATAAAAAGCCGTCGAATAAGAATGTGACTGCTGCTGCAATATTTAAGAAAATTCGAACAAGAGGCAAACTTAAGCTTCGTTCCTTAGAGGGGTGTGTGTTGGGGGTTGTGGGGGGTTTACCCCGAGGTGGGGTCACTTGTACTCCCTGCTCCGGCTCCACAGATACACAGATAAACGCTGTGTCGTGACAGAAAGGAGCGAAGTAACGTTAAGCAGGAGGCTAAGTTCATTTGCATTTCGGTTGACGCGGTCTGTGAGATTCTCGACTCGACCGTTGAGCAGTGACCGAGAGAGAGAGAGGGGGCGGTTATTGTGTCTTAACGTGTTTTGTTTAATATTTCTGTTTTTCCACTGACACGTTTGCCACTCATTCTTCTGTCTGCGAAGACTGGGGGGAAGTGTGAATAGCTTCAGGGCTCGTTTAAAAAAAAAAAGAAAGAAACACCATAAATCCTGCCTTGTTGTCAGTCAGCTGAAATGCTTAAAATTGTTCCATTTAAAGACATTTTTTGGTAATGTACATAAATATGGGCCTACGTGGCTTACAGTATGGGCATATTTGGAAGATATGCCATATGTCCACTGTTTGGAGTTTATTATGTTCTATCTATATAATGCATGCTGAATTTCAAGTCTTTTTATTTGTTATTTATTTTTAACTGTATTTATGTTTATTTTGTGTTTATTCCTTTTAATTGAATTTCACAAGCAGTGAAACTCATTGCATCCCATCCATTCCCCATACATGTCTGTCCAACCTTTCCTAAGATAAAAACTGGTCATTATATTATACTTTATTGATCCTGCAATGGAAATTTCTCATTTTGCTGCCTAACTATGCTTTTTCTGGGTGTAGCAGAGCAGAACTGCCTGGGGCAGTGGGGGAGGTTAATCACCTCGGAAAACCCAGGCAGTCTGGGGATATGAACCCACAACCTTACGGTTGTTTGCTCAAGTCTATCACTAGGCAACTGCCCAGCCCATTGACATGTACCTATATACATGCACTCATAAAAACGTACAAATGCATTAAGAAAATGGTGGGGTTATATGCTTTTCTGGGTTCCATGTGTGTTTTAATTACATTTAAGATGAAACCTTAAATAAACGTTTATTTAAAACATCCACTCCTCAAGATATCTAGGCAGCAAACTAAAGGATGCCTTCTGGAGCAGGAAATGAGCTCAAGGGAAACCATGACTGCCAGAATAGGCAGGAAGTCTGGATGAAACTGCTAAAATCCAACATAACAGCAAACAAGAGTGGGAATTAAAGAATTCTTTACTACACTTTGATACATAAAAGCCAGAGAACTGTAATTTTGGTGAAACATAGTTGTCCACTAAAGCAGTTGTGGAGATTACATAATGATGTGGTAGGAAGGACATTTTGTCAGCATGAGCTTTGGGATGTTAGTAATTTTATACAGTTGACTAATTATTAATTGGGAACAATTAAAAGAAACCCTATTTTTTCCTACATTTTTACATGCATTGATGCAAAACATACAAAACAGCTAGTGCAGAAGCCGTCTCATACACTGCAATAATACAGCCCTAAAATGTGTTGTTTCAGGAAAATAATCCGACCACACAAATCATTCTACCCTTTAAGACGTTTAATTCTTTCTTGTCACAAATTTAAGTTTGATCAGTTGGGGAGCAGTGCACTCACTGCTGGACCTCAAACTCCGCCTACGAGCACAGCCATTGGCTCACAAACTGCTGAGTGCTGTAGTTTTATTGGCTCCTTACTGAAATATCTGCATGAATTAGGGTATCCTTAATGTAATTTATATGCTAATAAGGTACTGGTAGGCTGGCACTTGCCGAATTATCATTTGTACTGAAATCTCTGCTTGTTTTCATGCCATGCAACAGTTTGATGAACCAGAAAATAATTTGTACATCATTAAAGGCAGTCAAATCTGCACTCTTTGATAAATAAGATTCATTGCGTTGTTATTAGCTAAAACAAAGGAGAACTAGGTTAGTGACAATGAACTGAGCTGTGCCAAAAGAGGGTCAGTGTGCAGCAGTGCTTAGTGAAGCAGGTAGCCTAGCTTCACTACATTTTAATTGTATCAACAATATGTGATTATTATCTTTGTACACTACAAAGTGTCCTTATGTCACTGCTGTTGGAAGAAAACCTCATATTTCCATTGTTGTTTTGCATTTTTTTTTACAGAATTTGAAAATGCCAGCTTCCCTTTACAGTAGGAAAGTAAAAAAGCTCCAAAATTCCTCTGAAAAATGTAGTTCCATTTACTTTCATTCAAAGTTAAGAGTGTTTTTTCCTTCTCCTGATAAGTTACCATTTTGGAGATATGAGGTTTTGTTCTGACAGCAGCGCTATGTATTTCCTGTTAATAATATGTTTTTTTGTTTGTTTAAATATCGACATATAACACATTATACATTATGAGAATTTGTCAACTCACAGTTTTCCTAGTTTTATGTATGAAATCTGCAACTTTTATGTAGTGCTAGCATTTTTTACAGGCTGTAGCCTCTCAATGTTGCTCCTTCCTGCTTGTGCGATTAAATTTGCACCCCTGACTACAAACAATGCAAAGTTTTACGTGTGATTTATATGTTGTATGTAAAGTATTCTGAGGTGTTTCCTCTGAATTTTAGGAGGTGATATGATTCCAAACTTCAGTGTGTTTAGAAGTGCACAAATGACAGATTGAAAAGGAAATGTTCAAGATTAAATCAGAGACTATTGTTAGACAGAAACAGGGCTGCAGCTAAAACAATTAAGAGAAACTGTTGGTTTAGTCGGTTTTAAATCAATACAATGTAATCAGTGGTTTGCACACTTACTGTCTTATAAGACAGACTGCCTATTCTATGCCCTTTCTTTTTGTAATGTATTCACAGCCCTCTTATAGGATGCTTGAACAAGATCAAAGGGTGACATCAAAAGGCTAACTGTCCCACTGTACCACCACTACAACAAAATGTAGCATATATTGACCTTTCCAACAGTGGGCTCAACTTATACTCTATGTAGCTGAATATGTGTGTACAACATTCTATTTGACTTGGGAATTCACTGTCATACAATTTTTGAAATGACTCACAGTTATTATGAATATGTGGAGCTTTTACGACAAAATTTGTCAATAGGTCAATAGGGTTCCACAGTCCAGTATAGCAGCAAAGGCTGTGTGAACTTTGAGCGATTGACCTATTCATGCTGGCTTCACAAATCATAGCTTCATAGATAGTAGGGACTCAAATCTGATTGATAGGCTAAGCTGAAAGTTCACCAGCTAAGTTACCATTGTAGACTCCACCTGAAGCTACTGTAGCATGGCTTATTTAAAGGGATTACTACATAACATTTTTCCCCATCATACCTGCCATATTTGTCAACAAAAACAAAAACGTGGCTATATTGGTTTGAGCAATAGATACAAATAGAAGCAACTTCAAAACAACTGAAGCCAGTGAACTTCAAATGTCAATAACAAACCATACACATTAAAAAGAAAATGTTCAATATTGAACAATATGGACAATTATACTGTTGGAAGATTTCTGGTTATTTTATCCGGTCCTAGGGCAGACAGGCCAAAACCAGGCAAGGCTAGTCAAATAGCCAGCAAGGTAGCACAGGGAAAAGAAAATGAAGGGGAGAACCAGCAATATCTCTGCAAGATTTAAACATCCCTCCAACTTGTAATTCATAGTTTCTCTAGAGCTCCAGCTTCTCTGAGCTGCTAATCTGTTAAGTTCATTAACATAGCAGTGCCCCTAGAAAAAGAAGTAATAGTGTGGTTGCAAACCGATTTTTGAGTTTGTCAATGATGTTGATAAACACAGGCTAATCCTTGTCTAATAAGGATTTTGTCATAGGGATAAGTCATTTTGTGCAAGATTCTTAATCAAACTGCACACGTCGGGCACTGCATTAATGGTGAATTGTCATAGCCTGCATGCACTTTAAAAATAAAGCACTAACCACACAGCTCTTTATTTCAAATGTAAATGCTTTTAAGAGCTTTTTGTATGCAAATGAAACTCTAACTAAACAGCTCTTTAATTCAAATGTAAACACTGTTTAAGAGCTTTTTATATGCACACAGCAGCCAAACAAACATTAGTCTACTGTGAGTGTTCATTTTTTCTGACCTCAGATGGCTAAAGTTGCATCAGTGATTTTAGGTGGGAAGTAGGAGATTCTTAGATGGAAAATTTCAAGCTTCTGTCTCATGAATGTTGCACTTGTCTGCATCAGTGTGGTCTTGACCAATGATCACTGTAAGGGTGCATTTGTTTTTGTTTTTTTTTAAAAAAAAACGAGCCTTAATAATGTTTAACATCCTGCCTACATCTGTTGGTACTTTTTGTGTAAGATTTGTATGTTTTAAGGCTTTCGTGGAGCAGGATTTCAAGTCCCGCTGCCTCAGGAGGGCAGAGGCAGATGCTACAGGTCCATCATGGACAAACAGACTTAAAAACAGCTTCTGCCCCAGTGCAATAAGAGAACTGAACACTGCAAAACACTGACATTGTACAATGCCATCCAGGCACTAAAAGCACAGGAACTGAACATCTACCTAAACCTGTCGCAAATATACTCAAGGCATATTAAAAGATGTCTACATTAATTGGCCTTTTTATATTTATTTACTTATTTAATATCACTACCATCCACAAATGTGCAAAACCCTCAGGTGCAATATCATAGCTGCTACATTCTTTTATTTTTTTGTATAATTTTAAATTATATGGTCTTTTACTTTTAATATCTTGCATTTTACATTAGCTTATATTTTTATTTTATTCCTGTTTTTAATGTTTAATAATGCACCATTAGGATTGCTGCCCAATTTCATTGTATGCTGTGCAATGACAATAAATTATCCTGATATTGATATTGAATCATGATTTCTTCTCTCTTTTTTAAGCCCAACTGAGTCGTAATGCAAAGACACAAGTTGTCCGGCATGCATCAAAGGTCAAAAACTAACACCACTATTACACTAAAACATCTTAAACAACCCCTTTTAAATGGAAAAGAAGTCAATATAATATAAAACTTGAGGAACCTGAGGACAGATAACATTTCTACATTCATTTCATTTATTTAGTCATTTGTACATATTCAATCATTATTTGTGCATCTAATGTTTGTATCTGAGCCACATTGTTCCAAGTATTTGATTCCCCCAGCTCCAATCAGTAATCCTTCTCTGATTGAGGGCTTTAGACAGCCCCCTTGAACGCTAAAATGAGAAATGGACTTGTGGGCACTTGCGAATGAGGTTTGGGACAGGGCTTTGTTAGTTATGCAGCAGTTTCCACCTTTGTAAGTACCAAATAACTGGGGCCTCGTTTATAAAACATTCATATTGCAGCATTCGCCACACGCCCCACATTTCAGAAGGGGCTAAGAGGGGTGCTCTGCCCTCTCTGTGACAGAAACAACTGTTACTGTTATTGCTGTTTAGTTAGTTTAAATGGGGTAGGTGTTGATTGTACTTTATTGTGTTGGCCTGTGGGTGGGAGAGCGGGAGTTAGTGTATACCATAAGGAGAAAATGTGTGGTTAGAAGTGACCTGTCTGCTCCCTGGCTGAGTATGTTTGCCTTTTTTGCTGCTGTAAATTAAAAAAGGGCAGAAATAATGGTCTTTCCTGCATCTCCTTCTATGGTGACACCACAATGTGCAAGGATTTGATCTGAAAATGAATCATGATTTAAATAATAATCTGTCTATCTATTATTTAATTATCAAAGCAGTTTTAACCTGATGTTTCGTAGTGGCAGAGCTAGTGTGCTACAGGCTCAGGTGACACGAATGCTGCGAACAACACAAATTAATAATGACATTTAAGAAGGTTTTAGAAAGGAGGCCTCTGACTTCTCATTCGTTACTCAGAAATGTCGGTGCTGTTGGAGTGGTGAGGAGGATTTCGGCACTTACTTACACGACCACAAGGGGGGGATGTTGACTACGACGAGACATGAGGATTTAGTGATTAAAACAAATCAGCTTTAACGCTAAATGTAGTTTATTGCTTAGTGTTTCTTCCGTTATTGTTGCTTTGAGAAGAGTGTTAAGTTACTTTTTTATTGTCAGCTGACCACAACTTTGCACGTATGTTTTTCTGCTGGGTTAGCCAACCGGTTTCAGTAAAGTTTGGTTGCAAATCGTCACAGTTCCTCCTCCCTATTGGCAAAGATGGAGACAGACCATGTTAAGACTCCACAGTCGCTGTCAGCTAAATTTGAGGGGTATGTAGGCGTTGTGTGTGACTTCAAGACAGTGTACATTTTAAATCTGCAACGTATTTAGTATTTGGAGAGGACTGACTGCTGTAACCAACAATTTCAGGCTACGTTTGCGGTCAGGGTGATTGTTGTGAGCTGCCTAGCTTGCTAGCTAACCTAGCTAACTGCCTAGCTTTGGTGAGCTGTGTTGAATCCGAGCTAACTTATTAGCCGTATTTTGATTTATGTTTTAAATCAGCTAACCGAATAGTATGGCACTGAGACTATATTTGCAGTCGACACTTTCATTCAAAATGTCCATGTCCACGCTGAACAGTAAACGAAGCTGAAGTTGGCTTCCTTTTCGAATTTCTCGTTCCATCTTAAATAGCACGGCGGTTACATGCTATCCTGGTGCCTGAATCGGTAACTGCTGTACCATTTAAGGTGGAACGGGAAATTCGAAAAGGAAGCCGACTTCAGAACAGTAAGAAATTACCCGCGAACCTAAATGTGAGGTGTGTGTTGATACTGCAACTACTAAATAACAGGCTTAACGTCTAAAGTTTCAGAAGTTATCATCGTTTTCTGTAAGAAATACATTTTTTTTCTCTGACATAGAGACCCCAGTAGAGTCCATGTCCCCTCTGTCACAATCCCCATAGAGAGAGCTGCCTGTGTTCCTTTACTGGAGGACGTAGATTTGGTTGCTCTGTTCTTCCAGAGATAGACAAGCACACAGCAGTTTAGCATGACTGAAGTGTGAATACTCGTGTAAAGTGCTCATGGAAACACCTTAAACGCTTTTATTACACAGCGGCAACGCACATTTGGAAATTTGGGGCTTATAGTGATCCACCTCTCAGTATACGAGGTCAGAGAGCTGAGCTAGACAGAGGCTGTCTGCCCTCGTGCTGTTAAAGCTTCCTACCCGATATTGTCTGTTTACACACTTAAAAAAAGATGGTTCTTCATGGGTTCTTTAGGAAAGACAACGGCTCTGTTTGAAATCATGAGTATTATATTGAGCCCTTTCATGCTTACATCATGAAATTGTGTTTTCAGATTGATGGAGAATGTGTTGTATATGGTTCTATAAAGATCATTTTTGAAAATGGTTCTGTATAGCACCAAAAAGGGTTCTATTGTTACAAGCTTGACATTGTAACAATAGCAGAACGCTTTTTTGGTTCAATCATATACAACACATTCTCCATCAATCTTAAGAGGAATTTCACCTTGCAAAAAAACATTTAAGCATGAATTAGTTCTGTATAGATAATAATGGGTTTAAACAGAACCATTGCCTTTGCTAAAGAACCTTTGAAGAACTATTTTAGAAGTCTGTCATTTAAAACAGGGATGCCCAAACATTTTGTCTTGGGGTGCCAAAGTGCCATGTTTGTGGTGGGCAGAAGGGCAAAAAGGCAGAACATGATACAAATAGTTCATAGGTTTCAAATAGAGCTTTTAAAATGTATTTTATGATATTGCACTGTATTTTGAATAAGGCAAAGAGTTATATAAGCCATGTACACAGTATAAAATATGCTTGTTCTCTTATGGAGTGAGCAGGTGGGTTAAGGGTAACTGCTGGGCGGGCTAAACGAAACGTCCTCACAGGCCAACTTGGCACAACCATGGTTTAGAGAGCCCGTATTTTAAATATTTCTTGTATTATATTTCCATTTATTGTGTTTGTGTGAATTTACATACTCAAAATTGTCATTTTAATTATAAATATAAAAGTCATAATTATTTTTCATATGACCATTTTCAGCTTGAACTTTCCAAGCAGTTCAAGCTGAAACATTCCTTATAATTTCAGTTTGAATAAATGGATGAATGTAAATCCTAAGGTTTTCATGACCTCACAAAATGGATATGGGACCTGTAAGACGATGTAGTGTAGATGCTTTAGCCTGTAATTGTGTGTGATAAGCATTCATTCACTGAATAAATTGAAAGATTTTAGGTAATGGATGGCATAGATGTAATCAAATACCAGCATGTTTTGTCAGTGTCAATAAATTTACACTTGAGTGTTTATATATTTTTTTGTTTGTTTATCACCATTCAGTTTCAGATTCATCACAGTAGTCATTTTAAACCAATTTTGTCTCGTAAATATAAATTTTATAGCTTGAATCAGTAGTAACTCTAATACAAATTTATATTTCTTTTTTTTGTCTAGGTCTTTTGCATATCTGACAGTAAGGGACAGGCTGCCAACGATCCTGACAAAAGTTATAGACACCATTCATCGAAATAAGAACAGTTTCTTTGAGGAACATGGGGAGGTAAAATGAAAGACTTCAGCATATTTCTTTACTATAAGACTGTGGATCTGCGCCCTTCAGCCAAATGCTGGGAAAAACAGTCCTAATGACCCTCGATTTTCAGTTGTATCATCATAGTTAACCCACTTAAATGTCCAAGTAAGAAATTGCAACCTTGTGTTGGCTTTTGTTACACTACTGTTTAAAAGTTTGCGGTTATTGTTTTCAGTAAAATACTAAGTATCATCGCAGAACATGTATAAAATGGTCCTACTATGTTATTTCTGTTCATTTGCAACTTCACAGATTTCAAATAATATGTAGGGAGCTATAAAACTAAATAAAATAACTAAATAAATATTTTGGATGTGTCCAGAATAGTGGTAGTTGTACGACTTGTATGACTCTAAAATGATTCAACATGACTGAATAAATGAATGAATGAAAGAAGCTGTAATACATAAATATCCAGAATGCTTCATATTTCAGAGAATTACAGTGTTTGATTCATCATTTGATAAATTCTTGCTGATTCCAATTCTTTTGAGGTATTGAACCTCAAAATACCCTTTGATGTCTAGTATATAATATTGAAACATACATTACATAATATGTTATTCTATAGTAAATAGGTATTAATATGGAAAGTAATTACAAACATTTGATTGGTAGTGTACCTTGACTGTCAATTTTGAAATTATATTTTGAATTCATCTGTTTACTGTGACTAGACCATGAGTTCAGTTTTAGCATTTGTTAGATTATTTGTCCTTGTCATAGATTTCAAGATCCTTTATTGCCACACAAGTCACACCACATATACTGTAAAAATGGTGTAGGAAACGTAGAAGTGTAACATCGCAACAACTGTAAACTACTGCTGTCAGAGGATTGTATATGCAAGCATTGTAGTAGTGCAGATTAAAAGATGCATTTGATAATCTCCAATTTTCATTTAATTGGCCTTCTTTTGTTCATTGACAGGAAGGAGTTAATGCAGAGAAAAGGGCCATCTCCTTCCTGTCTAAGCTAAGAAATGAGCTGCAGACAGACAAGCCGGTGTTGCCTTTGTCTGATGACGCAGAGGATACAGCGGCCTGGAACGAGTACATGCAGAGACAACAGGACATGATGGAGGACAGGCAGCCTGTCAGCTGGTTCAAGTCACCTTGGCTTTATGTGGAGTGCTACATGTACAGGAGGATCCAGGAGGCATTGTGGCTAAAGTAAGATAAGCTACAAAACCCTCTGTATTAGATGTCAGAAATCTCCCACTGAATCTGATCATTTACAATTGAGATGGGCAATATGGCAAAAATAGAATATTCTGATACTCGAAGACATGTTCACGGTTCATATGTATTGATATATTTCATTTTTCTGAGGTTTGACAATTTGGAATAGACACACTGGACCAGATTAGTAGTAGTACCAAATTGAAAACAATAGGGAAAAACATTTGACAGCTACAACATTTGGAAGCCTCTTCTGAATCTCTTTTTGATTAAATATCTGAGGCCCAGTCTTCCAAAAGTCTCTCAGTGTTTAGATCATCTTAACTGGCAGAGAGAGTGTTTACTGTGATGATCGCTCTACCGTTTGTCTGGGCAACTTCATGCTTATGTGCTTTTGGGAAACCTTGCCTTGTTTGTCACTGTTATGGAGGTGCTAATAACACCCTCAGAGAAGCATATTGTGACTCGGTTTATTGTGATATTGATAACACAGTATCATATTTCTCACCCTTAATTCACTTCCTATAACCCTTTACAAGCAAAAGAGACTATCAGTATCATGCATGTTCTTCTAAAGTAGGTTCCTATCCATGATTACATTTCCTTTATGTGAATTACAGCTTCTCCTTTGTGTTTTTGTTTGTGTCACAAAAGTCCTCCAATAGGTGACTTTGATGTGTTCAAGGAGGGAAAGACGCAAAGCTTCTTTGAATCTCAGCAGGCAATAATATTTCTCTGTACACACCTTCGAGAGGTCCTCACCAGCATGGATAACCCTAATAAGAAACAGCTCTTTGACCACTTTCTCAAGTTTCTACAGGTTAGTTTGATTCAGTACTTTTTAATTAAAACTTGCTTTATTCATTTAAAATGAATGGAACTAAAATTAGAAAATATAAATCAGAAGCTGTCCACATTAGCAGACATTCTGTCATTTAGGGCAGCAGTATTTAACATTAAACCGAAGAAATCAAGCAGACAACCAATGCAGACATAAACTGTATAAAACACTGCAAAGTAAACTTTATTTGGAAGGCACATTTTAGCAGAAATGCTTAAAAGGTTTTGGGAATGCAACAATTAGTATTAATGCAACAATTATTAGTAATGTAATAAAGATCCTGAAACCTTTTAAAAGACCTGTATCTTTAGTTTTTCTATATTTTTTCCCTTCTGAGGTCTACTTATGATATTTTATGCTTTAATATACTAAAAACATTCCTAATTCAATTTTTCATTCAACAGTTATTACATTCAGTATTTCAGTTGACCTCTCCTAATCTCTCAGAATTAAACAGGCTGCTGTTTATTGAATAGGTTGATGTATGTAAATGTGTTGATTTTCATGACATCACAAAACCAGTAAATACAAAATGAGCAGCGTATTTTCCATAAATAAACTGCAAGTACTGGTGAGTGAATGATACGTTTTGAAGCTTCAACAATGTTTACAAACTAAATTAAAGTATCTTTTTGAAAAGAAAAAAAGCAAGGAAAATTAAGTTTTCCATGGTATTGTAAAACTTGCCTTTGCTTGTGTGTTCAGTATGCAATATAAAGATCACCACTGCTGGTGTTTCTGTACTGTCTGGTGATCAGGTGTGCTGTGGGATGTTCTAACAGGTGTCTTTGTGGGGGAACAAGTGTGATTTGTCCATCTCAGCTGGTCAGGACAACTCTCAAAAGACCAGCCCCATTGAGTCTCTGGCCAGTCTGCAGCGTTTCATCCTTGTGGATGACTCTGATCAGGTGTGGTCAGCTTTAATGGCTCTGCAGGGTTCCAGAGAGACGGAGAAGAGAGGAGCTAGAGTGGACCTCATTCTAGACAATGCTGGGTTTGAACTCCTCACTGACCTGGTACTTGCAGATTTTCTTGTTTCTGTTGGACTGGCAAAGGAAGTGCGGTTCCACGGCAAGTCCTTCCCGTGGTTTGTCTCTGATGTCACCAAGAAGGATTTTGATTGGACTATAAAGCAGACCGTGGCGTCCAATCACAAGCAAATGTCAGCATGTGGTGTCCAGTGGAAACACTTATTGAAGGAAGGGGTGTGGTCATACCATGATCATCGGTTCTGGACATTACCACATGAGTTCTGCGACATGCCAACTGATGCAGCAGATCTTTACACCGCTTTACAGGGTTCGGATCTAATTCTTTTCAAGGGAGACCTAAATTACCGCAAACTGACTGGTGATAGAGACTGGGAACACACTGTTCCTTTTGCCAGAGCCTTGAGGGGCTTCCATCCTGCCCCGCTGTGCAGCCTCAGAACACTAAAGGCTAACGTCCAAGTGGGCTTACAGCCAGGCCATGGTGAAATGCTCACGTCTCAGGAGCCAGACTGGATGACCAATGGCAAATACGCTGTAGTTCAGTTCTTCTGTCCACCCAGAGAACAGTAGGGATGTTCTTAGAGACAGTGTTCACTACAGACATGGAGGAAATGGTTAATGCTTTGAAAACAGGCCTAGACCAGAAAAGAAATAATGAGAGAGGACTGTTTTTCTCCTGTAATTAATTACACACTGCACTGTGTGGTCTTTGTTATTTTGTGCCCTCATTTTTTCCAAAAGCTCCTAAGAACATAAGCATGCATTGTAACACTTATTGCTGCTGTCAATTTGTTCCTTAGTGGAACACAGAGTTACTACAAAGACAAAAATGTCTTTTAAAAAGCATTTTCTGCCAACAAGCTTGTGAAAGTTAAGTAAAGTCATAAGATGTACTAATATTTTTGATAAGCAGCTTGTTTCAGCAGATTAAACTGATGTCTGTGAGCTATTACAAAACAACTGTTTTTGCTTTGGCAAATGTTCTGCACCAGCAGAAGCATCTGTTAGCTTTTCCTCTGGACAGTGTGGTATGGCATGGTACAGTAACAAATCTGTGATTCCACACCCACAGTTGGTCGAAATTTCCATTGCCAAGTGACTCAGACCATAAATAAGCACCCATGCTGAATTTAGTTACTCTTCTGTTTACTTTTCAGGAGATATTTCTGAGGAGATTAGATATAAGATAATCAACTTGCATGATGAAGATAAAAGTCAAATAAGTAAAAAAAAAAAAAGTTTCCAAAACTGAAGTTCAAAAATTTAGTAAACATTTCATAGAAATTGGGACTTCTAACAACCGTGCCAGACCTGGTAGGCCACCAAAACTGTCCCCATAAGATAAACAGTACTTAAAGCTTTCGTCTGATTCAGATTTAGTCCTTCCACTGTGAGAAGACAACTCAACACTATGAGTCTGAAAGGATGTATAGCTGTCAAGAAGCCCTTACTGAGAAAAGGAAATTGAGAAAATATTCAAATCAAACAAAAAGCTGCTGTTGTTCTTACAACATCACTAAGTGTGTCTGGGATTACTTGGATTTTGAGAAACGGAAAATGCAACCTCTAAGACTGAACTTTGGAGGCATGGAAAATATCCCTGCAGATTTCTTTGAAGAACTGAAAGGACGTCCTGAAGGGTGGACGTATTATATTTCATTGTTGAGGCGTCTGTGTAATATGTAAAATATTTTTCTCCCTTTTTCCTGATGCTTAAAAACAAATAACTTGCACTTAAAGGCTGTTTTCATTGGAAATGAAAAAAAAATACACATGGTCATTGACTTTTGCAAAGTATTGTGTAAATTATGCACATTTTTTGATGTGTCAAATGCAGTCCTGACAAAATCATCAGAATTTGTCCTACTATCATGGGACTGTTGTGCGTTGGGAAATATATAGAGATACTTCACCAGGGTACAGATAGTTCTGGATTCAGATTAATAACTGTACTGTGCCTGCACTGTCTGATGGAAAAAAGCTATTAGCCACCTGCTTATTTGTGAGATGCTGCATGTTGCTTGTGGTTTGGTACCCACTCTCTCTCTCTTTGTAATCTAGAATCCCTATCACAGCTGTATGCTGCATGAGACAGCACATTTTTCAGTTCAAATTTCCGTTTTCTCTTGAGTCGAGCAACAATATGGATTGAAAAATGAAGAATTATTTATTATGACAAAGCATTCAGGTGTAATTTGTGTTGGCAAGCTGCAACAATTTTCGAAACTGTCGAGTTTTACACAGAAAAAAAGTTTACAGAGCTTGATGTAATTTTGATCGTAACTCGGCACCCGTTGTGTGAATGGAATTCAAAACTGAAAATAAATATGAAATGAAACTTTATTACTTGACTGTAGTCTTACTCTAGTTGTTCTGTTGAACTGTTTTGCTCTTGCTGCCTCTTAATTAGTGTTGTTTTCTGGGGAAACTCAGGGAAAGCGTGTCTAAGATTGCATAAATGACTTGATTTATGTGGGCAGGTCGGCTGTTGAAAAAGGACGTTACGCAGAACAGAAGCATTCTGCTTTTGATTTTATTTCATTAGTTAGCCACTTATGTGCTGATGTTATGTAATAATGAAATTTCTGGTGATAAATTGTTTATTCACTCCACTTGCTAAGTATTTTAGAGAAAGGAAATTAGGGGAAAACTGAGCATGTGTTCTAAGCTTTCACAGATGCATCAACAAATACAATATTTGCACCAGGAGAATTCAGCCCTGATAACATGTGACCTTGTACAAATATTTGAGAATCTGAGTCGATGTCAAGTTGTCATTTCAGCAGCTTGCAAGTGAGCTTTGGAATTTCTTCATAGGAATATGCTGTATTTCAAATTCGAAAGAAACAGCAAAACTGTCCTAACTTTCTTTAATATAGAGGTGTGCACTGTGGCAAAAATACATCACACTGTATCATTTATATTTAGTTTTTCTGATGTTAACAACTAAAAACAGAAAAAAATGAACCACCAGTAGAAACACATTTGAGAAATAGTATCAAGACTATGAATAAACTGTGAGTAAACTATGAATACAGTGATTTTTATTCTGCATTTCATATAGTCTTAAAGTCTTGTGCAAAAGTTCAGGCACCCTGGTCATATTATGTTTTGTTGATTTTCTGGGTGAAAATAAGTTGGCATATCCTTTACAGGGAACATATTTCTGTACGTTTACTGTTTATTTGCTGGATTCAACATATTTGGGGAAACAGTTAGCCATTGCAAAAGTTATGGCATATTTTATCATTTTTGTTTTTCCCCCCAATATGATAAACTAAAATTAGCAGAATAATTACATATTTAATTTTGTTCTCTGCAGAGGATGTGTTATTTTCACTCAGAAAATCAAGAAAACATGTTACTGAACAGGATATTAAAAAGTTTTGAATACGGCTGTATTGAAATAATGTATCAAATCAAGACACCACTGTATCGTGTTAAATTGAATAATGAAATTTGTGAATCGTTACACCCCTCATATTGTCGTATTAATGACCCTCATTTTAATATTATGGAATATTATCCATTTAAGATGTTACTCACACAGCTCAATACTGTGACTTTAATATTCAAACGTAAAGTGTATCCAAAAAATGAAAAATATTTATCTAAAATAAATGAGTGGAATTTGTGTTAAAAGAACATTTAACATAAAATATGGCAGTAACCAATATTTCCCTTACAAACCAGTTTTGCTGCATGAGTGTGTGTTTATGCATAAATAAGTTTGAATTGAATGACAGTAATAACAGTGCATATAGAAAATGGTCAAAATGTTCCACTTATATTAACTGAGGAGCACTGTGTGATACGCAGAATGTGGTTATTTCAGAATGTAGCCTTTATTTTGGTAGCAAATATTTGATTTGTTCATATTTTTAACGTCTAATAATTGGAACTTTTATGGTTCATGTTGAACCACAACACAAGGGGAATTTCCCCGCCTGTGCTGTGAGCTGGGTCATTGAAAAGTGAGTATATAGGAATAATTATAGAAACTAGACTATAGTAACTCGCACACACATTCACACTTTCTGCATTTAGCGGTTCACTAGAAAGACCACTCAAGCAGAGTGAAAAAGATGTTGACAGATAGCTATACGTTCTTGTGTAAATGATGCTATGTTGGTCATTTTATGACACAGGAAACCTTCGTTTACTTCACTGAGTTACCTTCACTCTACGGAGAGATTAATAGTAAAGTTCATTTTATGGTTCTGGTTTGTCCTCACTGAGTCAATGATTGAAAGTTTATCTAAGTTTTTATCAGTAATGTGGGGTCATCAGATTGAAACCTGATCAAACCAAACTGCTGTGATGGGTCTGAGTTGGATATGTTGCTGTCTGTATGAAACACTAACATTTATACCTTATACCACCACTCCAGTGTAATTTACACACACAGATATGTATGTATATGTGTGTGTGGTATAAATGTTAGAACTGGACACAAACGACTGCATACATCAACTAAATTATGTATTTAAGTTGTGCAGTTATATTGCTTGCCAGCCATAGCCTGCTGCTAACAAACTATGTTTCTTGGTGGAGAAAGTGTGATTGTGATTTATAATAAATGGAACTATTTATTGTAATTTATTCTAAAACACCACTTAGTAGTGGTATAATCACTAACACAACCTTTTGTGGCTAACATATTTAAAATACGTAGTTTTACATACATACTTTTAATTTGTCATTCCTACAGTACTGTGCAAAAATAAGAGACCTCCCTTCATTTATTTAATTTTCAGTCAAAACGGCTATTAAGTACAAGTTATTCATTTTTCAGCATCAGGAAAAAAGCAAAAACATATTTAACAGAAAATTACACAGAAGCCATCACAAATGTATCAAACGTTCTCAGTATTTACTGTGTTCACCTCTTATTTCCATTTTTTTTGGCAGACTTGCTTTCAGTTTTTCAAAGACAACTGCAGGGATATTTTTCACACCTCCAAGGTTCAGTCTTAGGAGTTGGTTGCGTTTTCTCTTTATGTGGTAGTGACAGTGTTGGTGGTCTACGTGATCTTGCACGGTGGTTAGGAGTCTGATTTTCTCTGTATCTTACACTAAATGTCCCAAAAATGCCATTTTTTTTCCTCCAGAAACTCCTGTTTATTTGCTTTTTTCTTTGAACTTTCTGCTTCCTTATGCAAATGGATTGTTTTATATCTAATCTGTTCAGAAATATCTCCTAAATAAAAATGAGTAATTTGTACTTAATGGCCTTTTTGACTGGATATTAAAAGTGAAAGGTGGCCTCTGACTTTTGAACAGCACTGCATATAAAGGAAAGTGTAAGGTTACTTATGCGTTCCAATCAGGACTTTTGAACGCCTACTCGCTTTCCGCTTCGACCTTTTGTCTGTATTAGTAACGACTCATATCAGATAGAAATATTGCCTAGCAAATTTCATATTGCTGCACAAAGAATTTTTTCCCTCCAGTTTCCTCTCTGCATTTCTCTTCCTCATTAGTGCCAGATACTCTCTTTTTTGACCTTTTTGCCTTTTCTGTTGTGTTCAGTGATGAAGTCTCAGATTGTATTGTAATTTCCCGTGGCAGGACACCACATTAACCATGTTTTTCTTTCTTTCACCACATTTGTCAGCCATAAAGCTTTTTGGCAGCTGAGTGAAGTGCTGACCTCCTGTCTCTTGTTTGCCTGGTTGCATTGACCTGCTCTAATATCGACCAAGCCATGTCTTTTAATTTACCACCTTTTTTTAGAAAGAGAGGGGGTGGAGGGGTGCACACTGAGAGAAAGGGTTAGCATCTTCTGCAAAACAGTCAAGCTGCTGCTCACTGTCACACAAAGCTGATCACTCAGCTCATTAACTTTACTATCTTTAGTAAGTTTGGTACAACTGGTAACAGTATGCTGAAGTCTGGTTTTAAAAAATGACCAAAATGATGTATGAATATTTACAGGATGAATTTCTGATACTCAGAATTGTCTTTTACTGAGGTCAACCTCACTAGCCCAAATGTGTTCTTAGGATTTATAGGGTTAATTTAAAACATTGAAAAAAAACTCACTCTCATACTACTAATAGCTTACATATTAGATATATTATAGTTGCTACTAAATATTATAAAACACATAGTATAGTACAAAACTGTATCCAAAGCCTTTTTAAAATACTCTATATAGCCACCTCGCAACAACTGAATTCTGTTTTATTGCACTAAGTCACTAAAAACCCTTATGCTATAAATGGATTGAAGTCAGAACCTGGTTTTCTTTAAACTGAGGGGCTGATAACTTATTTTCTTAACAGCTAGGCTAAAAGCTAGCTAACAGGCTAAACTGCTCCTCAAATAATATTAATTTACTGAATGATTCACTATAAAACTGCAATATAAAAAATATGTTACTAAAATCTCTTACTTAAAATGTTCATGTTTTTGGTACATACTTATTAAAAGTGGGAAAATAAATGTGTGGCACTGGTTTGATGCTCACACAACACAGGAAATCGCATAGAGGTGCCTGTGGAAATTAGCATTATTGTTGTAGTGGTAATTTGTTGAGCGAAAACTACTTCTAAGATGAAGGTTTCTGCATTAAACCCTGCTATATTATTATAATTTCATTATTATATGACATTTAAAAAGTTGGATTGGGTGAATGTATGTACGTGTTGGCTATCATGACATCACAAAAACCATGAATTTCAAATTAACTGTTTCTGCAGCTTAATTTCCATATATGGACGGTATGGGCTGCGGAGTGAACAGTATGTTGTGAAACTTTAACAGTGTTTACAAATTACATTGAACTTCATTACAAAATAGTGAGTAAAATTTGGTTCTTAATTATATGAACCTTTAACCATACACAATTACATAGTTACAGAATCACTGTTACATTTACATTCCCCATGTTGACACCTTTGCGTCTGCAATTCAGTTTTTTTTTGTTTGTTTTAATGTCAGAAAATGACAAACATAGCCAAAATGTATGACAAAAACATGATGTCAACATTAAAGATGTTTTTTCTTTCTGTAGCACAAGACTGTACACATAATAACTTTTCATCAAATTCAATTCATAATAAAATATCTACCATTAAGAAACAATTAATATAAAAAAAGGTAACATGGGCTGCATTTGACCAAAATCTGCTCTTTGTGTTCTATTGTAAAAACAAATAAGAGAAAAAGTCTTTTCTCTCTTGTGCATGTAGCTGAAGACAGGCTGATATGACACACTCTGTTTCTGTAGAAAAGGAGGGGCTACAGGACGGAAGTGAAGAGTGAGGGAGGGATGAGAGATGGAAAAAAAAAAAAAACCTTCTCTCTCTCAGTCAGAGTGTGAGCAGCTGGTGCTTTAAGTCATGTTGCCTGTGTGTGCGTTTCCACGGTGATGTCTGGCAGGCAGGCACATGCCGAGGCCGCTAGTGGCAGCAGGCAGCGGCACAGGAGCAACCTAAGCGAAGCCAGCGAGCCAGATTTCCCCCCCAAACTCTCACCCATGTACCCAGAGGAGGGGGGCATTTCCTCCACTGTCCACTTCCTGGATGGAACTTATGACTATCACACCCCGGCCTCTAACACCGGACCAGCCACCCTGGGCTTCTATCCGCCGCCCCCGGACTCCCAGCTGCCCCCGGCCGAGGGAACTCTGCAGCCCCTGGCCAGCGGGTCAGTAAGTCCTCTGGTGTTCATGTCCTCCAGCCCCCAGATGTCCCCCTATCTGACCCATCCTGGGGGTCAGCAACAGGTGCCCTATTACCTTGAGACTTCAGCCAGCTCCGTCTACAGGTCAGAGTGGCTTTGTGGGTTTGTGTCATTTTTGTCATTTTGTTAGATCACTGTAAGTCTGTTCAAAACTGAGGAGGCTTAAATTGTCATTTATCATCATATTATCAGTTACACTAATATGTTCTCGATTGCAGCTCTTTAAAACAAGCAGCAAAATTTTGTTAAAATGCAAATTCAAAACAGTGTCATGCAGAGTGGTTTGATGCGAAGTGGTTAATTTGTAGAGAAACATACTGACTCTAATTTCTTTACAGTGGTGGTGATAGGAACCAGGGGTGCTGATGTCTACAACACAAATATAGCCATTTTATTTAATATCCAAAACTACCAACATACACAAGTCTTCTGAGGTTTATATGTAATGTTGATGATAGTAAAATAGTGGTAAATCTGGAAAAAATTCTTTGGTGACTATTTTGCCTTAGAACACCCTTAATGTATCCCTCCGCCATGAGCAGATTAGAATACATTGATTTAAATACATTTTAGACCATAACATATCTTAAAACTACTGTAGAACAATGTCTCAGACATTAGGCTAAGTATTCATAACCATTTAATGTAATAACTTTCTGTGATGTAGCTTTTAAAGGCTTAAACTTTTCAGACGTCTTGTTCATATCACTACCACTGTGAACAATTCTGACTTACCAAGTTTCTCTAAAATTAAGTATTTTGCACCAAACTACTTTGAATCACTTTGTTTACATCTTACCCATTTAATTATGCAGAATTCATAAGTACATAAGTTCATAAGTACAAGGTAAGATGTTTTCTTCTGATTTTAATTTAGTAAGAAGTTGTTGTAGTTGTTTTCTGCAGAAAGGAAAAACCGGCATTTACAATTTGGCTCTGTATTTGTCATTTTGGAGGTTCAGCATCAATATGAAAATAAAACAGTAGTGCAGAATCGAACCTGCGAATATGTTAAATGGAAATGTAGTTTATTAGGTATTATATATATCTAATTCTATAATTATTAAAAAATAAAGGAAAATAGTAATGACCAAAAATGACTCAATTCTAGACCTCAAAGTGTTAATTTGAATGCAAGTCATTTGAACTAGAACTGAATGGAAGAGACTTACCGAGAAAAGGACATCATAGTAGGTCCATCTTTACTGATCTACAAGTAGTGCTGTAATGAAAGGGGCATGCTGGCAGGCTGCATGTGCAACAATCATCTGTCACCAAGACAATTAGGGGTCAAAAACAAGCAAGCAGGTACACAAAAGGCAAATGGATAGGCAAAAACTAGTAAACAAAGCTAGGGTCAAGGACAGGAAAAAACCAATACAGGAAAACTCAGTTTGACAAACAAAGACTACAGACTATGAAGCCAAACTCAAAGGTGTATGTATGTGACTTAATAAGTTTGTAAACTACCTTCAGGTGTGTGAAATGATGGAGGGGTAGAGTCAGGGAGAAGCAGAAGCTGGAATGAGCCATTCCTGACTGGGAAGGTCAAAAGAGTCTCCCTAGGGTGTGGTTTGGGGATAGGACATTACGACAAGTGATTTTTTTTGTTTTTGAGCTGGTAATATCTGAGCAAATGGAAACCTGCTAACATACTCTTTGTTTATTTAGCCCGTCCTACAACAAAAAACTTCGCTGTGAAAAGCGAAGCTTCTTCACGCCTCAGTTCCAGCTCACTGAAGCCTTGTGTCTGAATGAGCCGCTTTCATGTGTTTCATGGTTTGTTCTTTTCTAGGATAAGTTTCATTGCAAGCATGAACTTTGGCACACTGACTCAGAGAAATGTGTCCTCCTTATTAGGCTTTGTTACATTCCATCTGATGTAATATACATCTTTGCTGCAATGCATTTTTTGCTGTAAACATTTATATTAAATTATATCTTTTAAATTATTAAATTATATCTCTTTTTATATTTGTAATCTAAAATAGATCAAACACAGCTTTCATACTGGTTATGTGTATAAAATGAATGAAAGGGTAGCTTTCAGAGAGTTTTATGAGTGGAAGAGCAGCATATGGTCCGTAAGGGCGGATTCTGTTTTTAAACCTTGAGAAAAGAACAATATGTGAAAATAACAGGAGCGTGCAGCAATATCATGTCCTGTTTGAAGGAGAAAGAGAGAGAAAGAGAGTAGATAGTCTTTGATAGGCACAGTTACTACACTGTGTAGCACATGCTAAGCAAATTTCTGTCTGTATTACTTTGTGACGCACAAGCCAACTGCCTTACTCTGAGTTTTTTGGGATTTTTGACAGACATTAATTTGAACATTTTAGTATTTAACTGTTGCCTACTTATTGTATACTATATGACATAGAATATATGTCCAAAAGCATCCAGACATCTGTTCTAATTACTGAATTCAGCTACTTTAGGTTCAGTTGTGCACATCATCTCCATACAAAAAGACATTGATCAATAGAATGAGATGCTCTGGATCAGTCACAATGCCACTAGGAGGGTATGAAGCCCCCAAACATTGGGGCGTTAGTCTGTGGAGCAGTGGAACTGTATTCTCTGAAATGACAGAACTCCATTCAATAGCTTTGGGATGAGTTGGAGTTGCATTTGTGATCCAGAACTAATCATCCAGCATCAATGCTTGACCTTACTAATGCTCTTGTGGCTGAATGTCATCAAATCCTCTGTTGTTACTGCAGCAAAGGGAGACAAACTCCCTATTTATACCCTTGATTTCAGAAGAAGGTGTCAACAAACTTTGGACATATAGAGCATCATGTAGAGTTAAAGAGTAAAGCTTGTATGTTTCTTATCTTAAATATGAGGCAGGATGAAAACAGCATCTTGAGTAAATAAAGCTGTGAGCTATAAAGCTGAGAGCTGATCATGTCGGTGTTTGATGCCGGATGTGGTCCAGTCTGTCTCAGATGTTTTGCAATAATGTGATGGACAACAGAATTAAGCTTAAAATAAATATTTACGAACACTAGAACAAGAGGTCAAAGGTGAACAGGGCCACATCTCGTGTGACCCTGTTTGATGTCACGTACGAAGATGTGATGTGCTCAGGCTTTACTGTCTGTTCTGGTATTATTTAAGTATGTTATCCTTTATCAACAAAAGTTTGTAATCAATGTTTTCAATAATGTCAAAACAACTTTGTTGCATTTACATGAAGTAATATGATGCTAATACAGTGCAGCTGCCCATTTCTAAAATACTTAGTAAGAAACTGTGGAATTTAGGAATAAACAGAGCTGTAGATAATTCTGTAATAACCAAGAAGGCCGTGTGACAATCAAAATGAAGTTACAGCCCTGTTTCCAAGAAAGTTGGGACGCTGTGCAAAATGTAAATAAAAATAGAATGTAATTGATAATGTGCAAATCATTTAAACTCTATATTCAATTTAAAATAGTACAAAGGCAACACATCAAATCAGACAGTGCAACAATTCAAGAATAATGTTTCTTACCCTAAAATAGCAAAGGCCTTGGTGATTTCATCATCTACAGTATAAAAGATCATAAAAAGATTCAGAGAATCTGGAGAAATCTCTTTATCTCTTTTGGGTCATCAGACAGCACTTCATTAAAAACTAACACAATTCTGTAGTGGAAATCACTGCATGGGCTCTAGCTTACAAAGAAGAAACCATATATAAACAGGACCCAGAAACACTGCTGCCTTCTCTGGGCCTGAGCTTATTTAAGATGGACTGAGGTGAAGTGGAAAAGAGTCCTGTGTTCCAACGAATCAAACCTAGAGATTCTATTTGGAAAAGTAAATAAAATGACTTTGCTTGTGCTGTAGACATGGTGACCCCTGGTTCCTATCATCACCACTGTAAAGAAATCGAAAGAAGTCGATGCGTTTTTCTACAGTGAACCATTTCACATCGAACCACTCTGAATAACTTTGTTTACATTTCAACTATGCAGGAAATTTGAAAAATTGGTAGAATTTCATTTTTTTGTGTCTTAGCTTTTCTGTAAGTTAGGACTCTTATAGAATCTGTCTTCTGGTATCTTTCTGCAGGTCCAGTGTGTTAGTGAATCAGCAGGCAGGGGTGCGAGACGAGCTGTCTGGCGCCACCAACAGGCAGGACATGTACGCTGCAGCAGGAGCCTCTGGGGCATTTGAGATGGCAAAGGAGACACGCTACTGTGCTGTGTGCAGTGACTACGCTTCAGGATATCACTATGGAGTGTGGTCCTGTGAGGGCTGCAAGGCCTTCTTCAAGAGGAGCATACAAGGTGAGCCAGTTCATTCAGCAGTTGGGGTGGGGGGATCAGCCTAATCTATCTGCTTCATCAAAGAACAGAAAAACCCAGGACTTAAAGCCATTTCTAATAGAAGCCAATGCACACATGCTTCACCACCCTCCCTTTAGCTTGTATTATAAAAGTGTTTCAAATCAACATGTTTTCTGTTCTTATAGGAAAACACATTGAAATTGTTTTCTGTGGTAATCAACCACATGCCACAGATACAGCAGATAGAGATTAAGTTGAAAAACATTATTTCTTTGACATTCATGGACCTGACATCTGGTCCAGACTTACTTTCCTCACTTCTGAAACATCATAGTAATGCAATTAGTACTAGATAGATAGATAGATAGACAGACAGATACTGTATTGATCCCAAAGGAAATGTAGCAGCCAGTAGCAGTCACACAACACAGGACAGTTATAATAATACGAGTGATACAATGTAAACAGAAGAATATGTACAAAAAAACCTATCTACAGGAATATATGTACAACTACAAATATACAAAAAGTATGCAATACAAAGGAGTCACTAAATTAGCAGTATAAGCGTATAAAAAAAAGAAAATGTAAGGAAAAAGTGAAAACACAGTACGCAAAAGACAGAGCTACTAGAAAGGCTGCCACCCATAGCTCTGCCGGAACTCTATATTTATAATAGATATAGTTAGAATATTTGTAATATTTTAATGCAGTAGTTACTGGATAATAAACTTTAGGATGTGAACATGTGTGAAGTTTAAGGGGTTAAGTCTCTAGATTAGAGTATTTATAAGCCCATATCTTTTGAAAAAGATATCCCCGGTCCATACAGTCCATATCTGACAGCCAAGCTGCTAAACTGCCTGTTACCAAACCTCATTCTGCACATGTTACAACAGCATGGCTCCATTGTAAAAAGTCTGGGTGCTAAACTGGCCTGCCTGCAGTCCAGACCTGCCACCCATTGAAAACATTTGAAAAACAAAAATACAAAAAGGGAAACCCTGAACAGTTGAGCAGCTGCAATCCTATATCAAGCAAGAATGGGAAAACATGTTATTTTCAAAACTACAGCAGCTGAGAATGTTTTGGCCTAAAATGTCTAAAAATATGTCATATGCAAGCACTATTAAAGTTTGAGAGAACGCTCTTTCTACAGTCCATACAGTCCATATGGGAAAACTAAGCTGCTAAACTGTCCACATCATTTGTTAATTTCACCATAGAAGAAGTTAATCTTTAATATTTACCTAGTGCAATAGCTGTTCTTTCAATGTCTACACAATTTACCCATAAATAAAATACATTATAACAACATGACTATCACTCAGAGTAAGTAAACTGAAAGACGAATATGCGTATGTAGTACTCTTTTGAATCATATAAAGTCAACGCATTACTCTGTGAGCAAAGCCTTTCAGCTGTCCCTCCATTACAAGACAGAAAATCATGGCTATGTTTAGCTGAACTGAAATTCTCTGAAAAGAAAACATCAATATTGTCTCCTAAAACCCATTACACTCATTAATGAAAGCAAAGGCAGATACCTCATCTGGTACCATTCACATATTAATGCATTTAATACACAGGACGCTCAAATGTGCTTTTAATACAAGCAACCACAACCACATTTCTTTGATACTTAATCAAAGGACAATAATATGGTCTTCAACTTCATTCATATGTTGCAATCTCATTTAAATCTAAACGTTTACAGCATCAGAAATGGTCACTTGCCTCTAAAACCCCCAACCACAGTTATTATGGTGGTGTGGAGAGGAGGGGTGATTCAGACTAATGGGGGAGAGGAATGGTAGATGTTGCTGAACCGTCCTTGACAGTGATGCTTCCAGCTTTTCTCATCCATCTGCTGCTCTTCATCTTTCTCAGCTGGTACAATAGGGAACTCTGTAATAGACGTTAGTAAAAGCTGCGGGATACTGATGGAAGCCAGATGCTGAATAGGCCAGTCAGAACATATGGAGGAAAGCAACAAAGTGGTGGTGTTGATACCCATGAAAGGGCAAAAAGATTTCTTTTACAGAAAATTCTTATAACATATAGATACTTATATGTTTAACTAGAACAATTCAATCTTAGATATTGTTTTATCTGCTATCTGAGTTTTTCACATATTCACACTAACATGTTGCTATAGTAGCCGTTGGTTTTCATGGTTTTAATTATTATTTTCACTCTAATGTGCTTCTAACGCTGCCTTTCATAGATCTTATGATATTTCTCACTGTTACTCTGATAAGCTTCTAACAGCAATCATCATTTATCATTGGTTAATCCAAACGTATTAAACTAATCATACATACATACAAACATACGTACATGTTCTAAACCGCTTATCCTTCTGGGTCTCGGGGGGGTGGGGTGTGCTGGAGCCTATCCCAGCGGTCATTGGGCAAAAGGCAGGATACACCCTGGACAGGACACCAGTTCATCACAGGGCTTAAACTAATCATATCATTATATTTTTACTTACGTATATGTAATGCATATGGCTCATATTATTACACATAGATACTCACTTATTTATCATTCATATGGGACATATTATTACATACAGTTACATGTAGGGTCTGTGCAAAAGATACAGCACATTTTATACTTTGTTTTTTTTTCCTATATGTTAAACTTTGCATATAGATAGAAATTGTGCTCTAAATTTCCAGAAAAATACCATATTTAAGTTTGTTCACTTATTTTCTTATTTTCACTTATTTTAACTTGAAAAATCTAGAAAACATCATTTGACCGATACTTGCATACTACTGCACAGTCTTGGTGCCGTAGTGATGGTTTTTTTCTTATTTGTCAAACTTTCCATTCAAAGCTATTTTCCAAGCACTTTTCATTTAAAGCATAAGATGAAGTATGGTCACCGTGTGTCAGTTCATTATGTTTCACAGCTGTGTTGAATTTTAACTGCACCAGGTGAATGGATAAGTGGATAATTAAAGTAGTTACGTTGTGCTTTTTCGGCAAGTAGAAAGTTAGAAAGGTGAGCTTGATAACTACCAGCTAATTACAGACAATCATGAGACAAATGACAGTGTGGTTGGTGAGTACAAGATGACTAATTAGGCCTATATGGTACATAGCAGGCATGTACACTAAAATGAAAAGCAATAACATAAAGAGAACACTTTTTTCAGTTTTAAGTACAAAGAATTTACTTTTATTAACATTGCATTCTTAGTATTTGCTGAAGTAAATTCTATGTTATTGGTTTCTGAGAGTTGTGAGTGTGTAATGTGACTGCTAGCTTGGAAGTGCAATGAAGTGAACAAAGGAAATAAATTGCCTATATGCTGGAACATACGTACTGCCTCTTTACGTGCAGTACACACTCAAATACATCAACCTTGCCAAACTCTTCTGGAGTACAGTGAAGAGAGAGACAGCAGTAAAAGCAGTAAGGAGGTGAATCTGTGTCAGGGCCACTAATGAGCTGCACTCTTACCCTCAGTGCTCTGTGGGGCTGGTCTGAGATCAGTATAAACAGTTTGCATTTACACTGTTGGTTTGGTTTCTGTCCAGGTCACAATGACTATGTGTGTCCAGCAACCAACCAATGCACTATCGACAGGAACCGCAGGAAGAGCTGCCAAGCATGCCGTTTACGCAAATGCTATGAAGTAGGCATGATGAAAGGAGGTGTGTATGAGTAAGATACAGTCTACACAAAAACACGTTTGTTTTTATAAGACATAGGTTCTACTTTCAAGGCATTCATGTATAAATCTCATATGCACACATAACTATGTTTAAATAAATATGTTTTATACACACACACATACATATATATATATATATATATATATATATATATATATATATATATATATATAGGACCCCCATGGACCCTCACAGAGCAGGGACTATTTGGGTGGTGAATCATTCTCAGCACTGCAGTAACACTGACGTGGTGGTGGTGTGTTAGTGTGTGTTGTGCTGGCCTGAGTGGATCAGACACTGCAGTGCTGCTGGAGTTTTTAAACACTGTGTCCACTCACTGTCCACTCTATTAGACACTCCTACCTTGTCAGTCCACCTTGTAGATGCAGAGTCAGAGTCAGAGACGATAGCTTATCTGCTGCTGCACAGTGTGTTGTCCACAGTCCTCTAGTCCTTCATCAGTGGTCACACGACGCTGCCCACAGGACGCTGTTGGCTTGATATTTTTGGTTGGTGGACTATTCTCAGTCCAGCAGTGACACTGAACTGTTTAAAAACTCCAGCAGCACTGCTGTGTCTGATCCACTCAGACCAGCACAGCACACACTAACATACCACCACCATGTCAGCCTTACTGCAGTGCTGAGAATGGTCCACCACCCAAATAGTACCTGCTCTGTGGGGGGTCCTGACCACTGAAGAACAAGGTAAAAGGGGGCTAACAAAGTATGCAGAGAAACAGATGGACTACAGTCTGTAACTGTAGAACTACACAGAAGTGCACCTATATAGTAAGTGGAGCTGATAAAATGGACAATGAGTGTAGAAACAAGGATCATGGTCATAATGTTACATGTGCGTGTTAAATGAATTTTAAAAGCAGACTCCATTCACTTTCCCAAGTACATTTTTTTGAGAGTGTAGGATTGATGTTGAACTCTTGACACCATGTTTAAGAGTATTTTTTAATAAAAGCTTTTAGGTTAGTTTACATGAGAAATTCCTCCAATTACGCTCACTCTTTTTCAAGGACAAACAGAGCTTACTCCTACTGTATATGAGTGTGTGCTTCCCCTGCAACATCCTAGCAAAAAAAAATAAGGAAACACATAACCCCTTAAACTGTCGGCTTATTTATTCAGTCGTTTATCTTAGACATTATTCAGTAACTACAACAAATTATTCAGTATCTGCTAAGAAACTTACGTGTAGGTTATGTAGTTATGAGAGCAAGGATTTGAAGTAAAGGCCCTTGCAGTTTACCTGTTATTTCACACTTATAAATTAAGAAATTTGTGCATTGTATTCTATGCAGTTAGAGAATACAAACCTTAGCATGTAATAAGTCTGGGATTTCAAAGGGTTAAGGGTTAATCTGCATCTCTAGGACCAATGAATCGCAGTTCTTTAGATGGTAAAAGCAAACAGAAGAAGAAGGCAAAATCTTCTCATTAACAAACCCTAGTGTACTGTAGTTGGATGCTTTATATACACTCACTGGTCGATTTATTAGAAACCCTTCGATTTTAGCTCAGCCTTTCTTGTGTACAGTCAGTGACCATAGCTCATTTATTTAAGCACAGTGTGTTAGCCATCTTTCATCAATGGTCAGTTTCAGACCACATAGGCCATGTTTCGTGGTTTAAAAATGTTCAAAAAGGTGGTAATATAAATGCATTTTGATTGCAGATATATGTTTTGCACAACATCAGTTTCAATTGATTACATTTTGGGGAAAAAAATAATTTGTTGATGTGTCCAGAATGATGAGCAGAGCTGGAGAGAATAGTCTCCATAGTAAATAGATAACTACTATATATTATTTATCATATGTCTTATTGTTCTAGTCAATATTTAAGCAATAGAACTTGAGAGAGAGAGTGTGTGATTGTGATTGTGATGTGGTTGTAGGTTTGAGTGCTGTAGATCATCACAGTCACATTATTCATCATAACACATGACCATAAATGTTATATTGCTTTTATACAACAGTTCTGCAGAATGAAGAAAAAAGTAAAGCAAAGAAGCCCTGAATATTATATTGAGTGTGTTTTAATATAAGCAGTTCCCTCCGTCAAATAAGTAGTAGCCTTTTACGCTCTACAGATAGAGCCATGTAACTGTCGCAATATCAGGTTCAGTATTTGCTGGAATATCGACAGGCTCAGAATATGATGTGGTCCTGCTGTCACTCTTCTTCAGAATCTGAGCAAACAGGCTGTATTTCAAATACTGTGTTATAGAAGTTGTCAAATACAGAATGGTAGTTATTGTGAAAAAAAGGTGTACAACATTTTTAAATGATCAGATTGTGTTGTCAGAACTAACTTTTATATACATGTAACGTATTGAATAACACATTCAAAAATGCCTTTTGATGTTTATGAAATTTCAGTCTACTTTGTATAAGTTGTCATGCAATGAAATAACAACAGTTCAAATCTATTCTGTGCAAGTTGTTATGAGTGGAGGTATTAGGGAGGTGTTTCTAATAAAGTGGCAAGTGAGTGGAATTACAAGGTAGGTCTTTCTAATAAAGTGGTCAGTGAGTGGAAGAACAAGGTACATTATTCAAATAAAGTGGTCAGTGACTGGATGAACAAGGTAGGTGTTTGAAATAAAGTGGTCAGTGAGTGGAAGAACAAGGTAGGTGTTTCAAATAAAGTGGCCAGTGAGTGGAAGAACAAGGTAGGTGTTTCACATAAAGTGGCCAGTGAGTGGAAGAGCAAGGTAGGTGTTTCAAATAAAGTGGCCAGTGAGTGGAAGAACAAGGTAGGTGTTTCTAATAAGGTGGCCAGTGAGTGGAAGAACAAGGTAGGTGTTTCACATAAAGTGGCCAGTGAGTGGAAGAGCAAGGTAGGTGTTTCAAATAAAGTGGCCAGTGAGTGGAAGAACAAGGTAGGTGTTTCTAATAAAGTAGACAGTAAGCGGAAGTACTGGGGTGTTTTTAATAAAGTGGCCAGTGAGCGTAAGTGCTAGGTTGGTGTTTGTAATAAAGCAGTCAGTGAATGGAAACACAAGGGAGGTTTCTAATAAAGTCTAATAAAGGTTTCTAATAAAATGAAGAGTGAGAGTGTATTCATCATGCAGCATCGCAAGCTAGACCCATAAAGGGGACTGATTAATCTGATCCATTAATTCCTCCTCAGGCCTTCGTAAGGAGCGTGGGGGTCGCACTGTGAGGCGTGGTAGAAGGCGGAGTGGGCTGGAGGAGCGTGAGCGGGGCTACAGTGAGTTACCCACCCGCTCTGAGCTGAGGACAGCCACTCTGCAGGACAGCAAGAGGAGTCGCAGTGCACTCTGTATGAGCCCAGAGCACGTCCTGCTGCTGCTGCTGGGGGCGGAGCCGCCCACACTCTGCTCCCGCCAGAAACACAGCCAACCCTACACTGAAGTCACCATGATGACCCTGCTGACCAGCATGGCTGACAGGGAGCTTGTCCACATGATCGCCTGGGCCAAGAAAGTGCCTGGTGAGGAACATGACATTTTTCTTTCTCTCTGGTAGTTTCTTGCAACTCATTTCAGAATCACAGTGTGTGGTCAAAATGAACTGTTGTATAATTAAGCAGTAAAAAACTCTAGATCATGTATCATCATGAGTAACATCATATAGATCATCACAGCCATGATGCTATTTGCTTTAATGCAGCACCTGCAGTGTTCTTTTGCTTAATTATTTTTTACAAAGTAAAGGAAAAAGGTAAAGCAAAGAAACACTGACAAAACCTCGTATCTCCAAAATGATAACCTTACAGGAAAAAGAAAAAACCTACTTTACTTTTAATGTAAGTCAGTGGAACCAGACGTTTTTTCCAAGTGATTTTGGGTCAGTTTTTTTGGTTCATTCATCAGAAAACTTACACATAATGTAAAGGGCAACAGGCATTTTCAAATTGTCTAAAACTAGAAAATGACAAAAATGGAGATACAAGGTTTTGTTCCGACCGAAGCTATATTTGAATGAGCTCTACTCTGATTGGCTGCACTGTATTGTGCCACATTCAAAAAAAAACAATCCAGGCTGAAACACCCCTTATAACTTCAGTCGTGAATGGGTGGCACTGAACTGAATTAGAATAAGCAGATATACATAAATGTGTTTTCATGAAATCAAAAGAACAATTCATTCAATGCGCTGTTTTTGTAGTTCCAAGGGCACTCCAGCCAAAATAAAAGATGGAACCACTGCTACATGCTTTTTTACCTCCTACATTGGTGCTGCAGTAGTCCAGAGACTGAGGTTTTCTGGGTTAAAGTCTAGGAAAACCATCTGCTGATGATGTGTTTTGATGGTAGGAGGAACTTTTGAAAAACTGCAAGTGTTTTGGGGCAGATATTTTGGAAGTGGGCTGTTTGAAATGTGTTTTTTTTTCTGGTAGCTTATAGCTAACGAAACTGCAAAGAAGCCAAATGTCACTTCTTTATTTATTAACTTCTTCACTAGTGCATTTCTTCATCACCTTTGGGAGGTAGAAAATCATGAACTCAGGCAGTCAGGCTGAGGGATCCAATGCTGTACTACAAAATGCTACATAACCCAACAAATAACATAAAACAAAACAAAAAAAAAGTTCATGTCCATATATGGATTGGGCGTAAACTGTTTGTTCTGAAACTGTTTACATTTCCATAAACAAGTATTTACATTTTACATAGAATGCTTTTTTAAAAAAACAAGGGATTTCCATGGGCCTTTTAAAGTATGGTTAACAGCTTGCTAACCATGAATTGATATAGAGTAATACAGGGAGAAAAAGAACATGATTTTATCAGATATAACAACATGAGCAGACTGCTTTTCAACCAATTGGACTGTGTGGTCAGAACTAACTAAATCATTGGGTAAATACTGTGAAACTAATATGTAGGTTGTGCAGTTATGGGAGTGAGGACTGAAGTGTGGGCCTTCAGAGTGTAAGGGGTTAAGTAATACTTTACAGAGTCAAAGTGTACATATGTGTGTAGTTCCGACTGTTCAGACTGCGGTGATACAGATTCATGCCCTGGGTACCCTTGACGACAGCCTTGCATGTGTGTGTAACCATGGCAGCAGCGCAGGTGGCAAAGCTTCAGATGGCGAGGTGACAAACACAGGAATAAAGAAAATGGGTGTGATTACTGTCACCGGTACTGGGGCATTTCACTTGACCTCCAACTGAGCCCTTACAGGCCCCCTTATACAAGGAGTAAATGGCTATTCCTATTTTCACAGATAAAATAGAAGAAAATGTGACTTGACTGTATCTTAACATGAACAGTTGAGTTGCAGAAATAAAGAGCTCCCCTTAGTATAGTTATTACACAGAGTTAACTGGACCAGGTACTGTGCTGAAAGCATCACCTCAGAACTTTTTTACTGGATCCTGCTATCCTACAGCGCTGAAAACATAATGCATTTTCCTTCTGTACCATGTTGCATTTCCAAGTGAAGTGCAATGTTATTGAATAGAAAATGTTTTGCAACACATGCACTATATAGACAAAAGTACTGGGACCTGGCAGGAGCTTCATGGCATGGTTTTCCATGGCAGAGCAGCTGCAGGCAAGCCTTACATCACAATGCCAAGCGTTGGATGGACTCTGATGCAGTGGAAACGTATTCTGTTGAGTGACGAGTCACGCTTCTCTACCTGGCAGTCTAATGGAAAAGTCTGAGTTTGGCTAATGCCAGGAGAACGTTGCCTCCCTGACTGCATTGTGCCAACTGTAAAGTTTGGTGGATGAGGGATGATGATATGGAGTTGGGCTTGGCCCCTTAGTTCCAGTGAAGGGAAATCTTAATGCTTCAGCAGACCAAGACATTTTGGACAATTCTATGCTTCCAACTTTGTGGTATCAGTTTGGGGAAGGGCCTTTTCTGTTCCAGCATGACTGAGCCTCATTGCACAAACTAAGGTCCATAAAGGCATGACTGGGTGAGTTTGGTGTGGAAGACCTTGACTGGTCCACACTGAGCCCCGACCTCAACCCCATCAAACACCTTTGGGATGAACTAGAATTGAGATTGTGAGCCAGGCCCTCTCGTCCAACATCAGTGTCTGACCTCATTAATGCTCTTCTGGATGAATGGGCAAAAATTCCCACAGACACTCTCCAAAATCTTGTAGGAAGCTCCAGAAGGTCTACTGTATAGGTGTCCCAATACTTTTGTCCATATAGTGTATATCTGGTTCTCTTGTGCTTCAAATCATTGTCTTGCTGCATAACCCAACTGTGCTTGAGCTTGAGGTCACAGAACGATGAGCAGATGTTCTCCTGCATATTTTCTGCTAGAGAGCCGAATTCATCAATACATCAATAATGGCAAATCGCCCAGATCCTGAATTAGCTAAGCATCCCAACACCTCATCAGTCGACAGAACATTATTCCAAAAGGATTGTGGGTCATCAGGGTGTTTATATAAGACAAGTCTTTATGTTTGTGTTAGTTAGCAGTGTTTTTTGTCTTGCAGCTCTCCCATCGCTACTGTTTTCTCCCTTTAGAGATAATGGCCTTAGAAATAGCTCTGTAAATCTTGCTGCACTAATATATTTCAAAAACATTCTTTCTTATCCTTTCTGGAATTTTTTTGAGTGTGTCATAGTGTGCTCCTTTTTGCTGAATTTACATTCAACATTAGATTCATGAGGGATGGCAGTTATCAAGCCTGGGTGTGTCTAATTTATTATAATCAACTAAATTTGATTAATTGGTTGACTGAGTAAGGGGGAAATTACTTTTTCACACAGAGCCAGTTAGTGTTAGATGACCTTTTTTTCTTTCCAATAAATGAAATGATCATTTAAAACTGTGTTTTGTGTTTCCTCTCATATTACATTTTCTTTAAAGGTCTGATTAAGTATTAATTAAGTATTTTTCCACAGATGGTAGCTGAGCGTTTTCTCATTTTCTTAATGATAGGTAAGGGTGGTGGGAAGGGGAGGTGAAACATGATATTATGATCATAATATTACTCTTCCCGTCTGCCGACTCTGGTTAAACTGATATTAGGTACTCTTACATTGTACCTTCCATAATTTGCAAATGTGGAAAATTCAAAAAAGACCTCTCTTCAGAATGAGCGTTATCTTTGTTTCCACCTTTAAGAATGGAGTCTGTGAGTGACACTGAAATATTATCCTGAAATACTATTCAGAACTGTTAGTGTCACTTTTGACATCTAAACTGTTCGCTGATTCTCCCCATTAACTTCTCTAAGCTCTTCTCTGCAGGCTTCCAGGAGCTCTCTCTGCATGACCAGGTGCAGCTGCTGGAAAGCTCCTGGCTGGAGATTCTGATGATCGGGCTCATCTGGAGGTCCATCCACTCACCAGGCAAACTCATCTTTGCGCAGGACCTGATCCTCGACAGGTACAACGTCATCAGAGCCTTCAGCAGTTTAATTATATTTACTGCTCTCAGACTCATGTAGACCTTTTCCAAACGTCTTCATGCACTCATATCTGAAATTCATCTAGTAAATAATGATTAGTCATTTATAAGTGTTGATTCATAAACAAACATCAGAAGCTTACATAGTTTAGGATTTAATGTTAGAGGTTATATCTTCATCCACTGGTTACACTCTCAAAAATAAATGTGCATATTTTAACACATTTTGTCGTGTTATTTTAAATATGTGTCAGTAACATTGAATGCATTTTCCTGGACACACATATGTAACACAGGTTGAATTATAAGTAATACATAATGTGTTGACCATAATTATTGTCCATTTAAGGACACCACCTCTGTTTTGAGAGTGTACACAGTTTTCTGATGTAGAGAAATATAAAATGCTATAGTAAAAGGCAAAAAGAACTCACTTAAATTTTTACATTTTTATTATTTTGTGCTTCTCTGCACAGTGCTGTCATACATGTTTTGAATCAATGTTTTGAGTAATGTAAAACCAGTTTGTTTGCCGATAAACGTGAGAAAATTCAAATAATTCATAGGAAATTTTAAACTCTAAGAAGAAATTAAATGTGTCTGGAATGATGAAGAGATTTGCAGATGATTCTAAAAGATCATCTACAAAATAGTAAACATCGGAATATTTTATTGCTGTGTTTATCATTGAGTAACATCTCGCTGTTCCCAAAGTACTTGAAGTATTGGAGAAATATGTATAAAAAACATGTATACACATTTAAAATGTGTAAAATAGCTTATAATCCTCAAACCTACTGTTTTTGTAGCACTCACTGACTACTTTATTAGACTTGTTGCCATCAATTGTCATGACAAATGTCATGTTTGACAGCATGACAGCATATGACATGTTTGATGCTATGTAGCAGGATTCAAGTATTCTTACTGAGAGGTGATTCCAAAGTTTTGAACACTACATCTGTTGGCCAGAAAGCCGGCGAATGTCACTGTGCTCTGGGTTTTTTTTCCCATTTCCTGCTTTTTTTGTGATGCTGCATAAGACCCGCTGTGCGTGGTGTATCCTGAGGGAAGTCGCAAAATAGGACAGAATGATTATTAGCAAAAAAATTAGGTTGCTAAAAGCCCAAGAATGCTATTTGCAGAGAACCCACTGCTCCTCTCCAAAAGGCCATGTCACAGGTATATCTAATTAAGGCGGATGTGCTTGGGAACAGGGCCTGGAGCAGAGGCAGAGGAGGGCCAGCGTCATCACTGCCTGAGGAGGCGAGAATTTAATCAAAAACACACAGGTACGGTGGAGATTTAAGAGATGGCATAGTGCTTTTGAACAAGCGTGCAGAGAATGAGAGAGAGAGAGAGAGAGAGAGATTCGGAGAGGCATTAAAGACTGAAAGGATTAAAGTGGAGCTGAAGAGAGAGAGAGAGAGAGAGAGAGAGAGAGGGAGAAAGGAGGGGAGAGAGCGGGAGTGGGGAGATTGCCCTTTACAGGTACAGCGTGTGCTTTCCGGCTGTAAGTAAATAGTGTACTCAGTGGCACCCAGCCCACCTCTTTCCACAAGAAGTGTAGAGACGGGGAGAGAGAGAAGAGATGGAACCAATTTTAGGGTGCAAATCTGCTAACAGCCAATAAGACAGAGCTTTTCCCTCTTGCAGCACCACTCACTTGCTGAATGGATAGAGAGGCACAGATGCAAACAGTGGTCATTCCAAGAATGTTACTGCTGGTCAACTGCAGTGTTAAGACTGACACTATTGTTGTTCCGCTGTACATTTAATTTGCATTTCAGAATTATTTATTTATAATCTTAGTCAGTTTTTGGGGTGTATTCATTTACAAAATTCAGAATTCAATTCAATATAATACGATATGGGGGTATTTTAATTTAATACATTTTTCAATACAGCAAAGTTTTATTAAACTACTTTATTTGCTCCAGTCTGTTAACTGTATTGTTCAATACCTGTACGTACTGAACTGAGAGGCTCATTTTGAGAAACACGAAAATAGTTTTAAATCATTTTTAATCTCATAAAACCCTTCCAAAACTTCAGACATCTGTGTGCTTATGCTATTTCAAACATGACGGGTACTGAAAACAAACCGAAGACTTGAGGCAATGGCAATGGATAGCAATGGTTGCTAAGCAGTGATTGAAAAACATCAGAATCAGGCAGAGCTCGGCAGAATTTGATTGGCCATAACTGTGACAGCACTTGTAATAGCTAAATATTCTATCCCCACTTGATTGAGTAGGCTTATGATACTTGCGGCTGCTCCCATGAGAAGGCACCTGAATGAATGGAGAAAAAATCCTTCTAAAACAATTGAAGTCCAGACCTCAGGGTTCTTTTTACGGTGATGGCTGTACTCACTGAACCTGTAAAGACTACATGCAGTAGAAAAATTTTAATCAAATTCAGTTAATAAAACAACCCCTTTTTTGCTTACAAACAGTAATGTGCATCAACTGAAATTTCTGGGTCTTCACTTAATTTTGACAGAATGTGTGCTTATTTGAATGAGCTGTTAGTGAGAAATTATTAAATGAATTGCAATAAGAGGCATTTCAAGGTGCATTTACAATGGGTGTGGGATGTGGGGGATAATGGTGCAATGATGAAACAATTTGTAGGATTATATGAAAAGAGAACAATGACACTGACTGAAAGGGCCAATAGTGATCAGAAAACACTTCCCGCAGCATTTGGAGATCTGGGGGATTTCCAGTCCCGACAGCTACACCTAGAACTATAAAATTTTTTAACAATCAGTCAGAGATACAGCTGTGCCAGTTCACTTGTCATTGTTTTTTTTTTTTACTTTAATAGCAAAACAGCAAAATAAGACCACTAGAGTGATTCAGGCAATTGTGTGTAACCAGGTACCCACTGAGTGCATAAAATAAACTGTTTGGAGACACTTTGTCCTTCTAGGTAATGTTTATTTTTCATTAAGAGAAAATACCTTCTATAAACATAAAGCAGCTGTGTGCCAGTATTTTTGGAATACAGGGTGATTCAAAAAGATTCATTCAAATTTAAAGCGCCATATTTTTACAGCCGTGAGGTGCCTAGGAACCAATCACATACCAATTGAAAGAGGGGGCCTTAGAGTTTCTGACTGTCACTGGAAGATGGCTCCCTTCAGTCTGCGAGGAGATGGTGACCCCTGAGCAGAAAGCGTTTTGCATTCTCCACTTCAATAAGAGTGAATACGTCATAACTGTGCAACGTGGTTTTGGTCGGCAGTGAACCTCCAACAGCTCAGAGCGTTCGTCATTGGTTCCACAACACTGGATGATCTCCGAAATCACGTTGAAAGAGCCGTGAGAACAGTGACACCCGACATGCTCAGTCCAGTATGGGATGAATTAGACTATCGTGTTGATGTTGTCCATTACAGCTGGAGGAGGTTCATATTGAGCACTTGTAAAATTACATCATAAACTTTATGCTCATTTAAACCATTTACAGTTTACTGCATTGTTCCGTAATGATTTACAAGTGAAATAAATAGTTTTGAAATCGGATGAATCCTTTGGAATCCTGTATATATCTTTAACACTAAGTGTCAAAAGCAGTTTTGTCTAAATAATGATTTTAGAGTTGTTTTTCTTCTAACAATGACTGTAGAGTTTTCTTTTCCAAAAGTGGTTTAAACAACTGAAAAATTTAGTGCTGAGATCACAACAAAGCGATAAATGCTTGGGCTTTGACATTATTGTCAGTGTGGGGCAGTGTTTTTTCTTCAGTTTAGCAGTTTTTGAAAGTGTCCATAAACTTTGGACTAGTGTTGTACTTTGCAGGCTGCTACATTAAAGCTCTGCCTCTTGCCTTGTAGGAGTGAAGGGGACTGTGTGGAGGGCATGGCGGAGATATTTGACATGCTTCTGGCCACTGTGTCTCGCTTCCGCGCCCTCAAACTCAAGTCAGAAGAGTTTGTGTGTCTCAAAGCCATCATACTGCTCAACTCCGGTGAGTTCAACAGCACAGGGCAACTGCAGAAAAACACACACACAAAAACATTACCTGCCAATGGAGTGAGATACTACATGGTCTAACTCTTTGCTGTGGAGTTCGGAGGGAGTTTAGTTTACTAGATTACTCACTGACCTTGGCCTTAAAAGCCGTTGTCTTGTTTTCAGTTCAGGGAGTCAGTTAGAGTCTGCTGGCCAAAACATTAGCACATCCATGTTCTGTGTTCTTCTGTCTTGTGCTTACTTAGGTTTTATATGTGCTCTGTGACACTACATTAAAGACCATATTACCACCATTAACAAGTAAGCAGCTTGGCCTTCATCTACCCCAACTGATCTCTTTTTCTCTCCCACTCCTCCTTCTCTGTGGTAATCAGGTGCGTTCTCTTGCTGCACCACGCCTGGCGAGCCCTTGAGGGACGGCTTCATGGTGCAGTGCATACTGGACAACATCACTGACGCGCTCATACACTACATCAGCCAATCGGGCATCTCAATGCAGCTCCAGTGCCGCCGGCAGGCCCAGCTCCTCTTGGCGCTCTCTCACATCAGACACATGAGGTGGGGCAAGAGAGAGGTCGCACTTCCATATGATTATATGATAGGGACAGTTCAAAAGTCCAGAGACAGGAGCTAATTAAATCTATTGTGTGATTACCACATAGAAGCTTGACCATGCAGAAAAAATATACATGGGCATCTATTTTTTATAAGTGAGATACATTTTAAATATATTGTTTCATTTCAAAATGTATTCCAAACACTAAGCAAAACATACATTTATACATTTTCAAATTTATTCGACCTACATTTTAGAAGTATTTCTTTTCAACGTGGGTGTCATTCAGCATTTGTTTTCATTGGCCTTGCCTCACTGTTTGGGGCGTGGCCATAATATGAAATTCAAGCACATGGTTAGTTTTTGTTAACACGCCGTAAACAGGTCATGGCGGATCTCATACGCTGTCATAAGTTGTGGTAGCTGATTATGTCCAGTAATATAACAAGGTCATGTTACCATTACTGGTCCTTGTTATGACAGATGTCATGATGGTTGATGTCTTGATGGGTAACTAGAGCACACTTTTTACCAGTAATGATACTATGACACTGTTTATTAAAAAACATATTACTGAACATAATGTGTCATGACCGCATAAAACAGGGCATGTTTATGGCATGGTTATCAATGTTGCCAACTTTTTGCAAGCATAAGGATAAGGAAGAGGCGAAATCAACATGACTTATCTTGTATACTTTAAAAGATGATTGGTTGGCTGATGAAAACCAAAATCTTTAGAAAATTGTATTTAACGATTTGACAAAGTGGGACACTTTTGTGGGACGAAAGTCTGTTTGAGGTGGCTTGATAACTTGAAATTCTAGTCTGACTGACTATATTTGTAGTAACGGGGGGAGTTGTGTAAATTTGATTTCATACCATCACTTCAGTGCAGCAGGATCTACTCATATACTCATAAACGATTTGTATTTTAACCTGCTACCAATTTACAAGATGAGAAGATAAAAAGAGGGTAGTTAATATTTTGTGGTAGTGTTGTCACCAATAAAAGACCAAGATAAAAGACCGAGATCTAAGGTTCTGGAAAACAACCAGCTTTTGTACAAGTGTATATTCTTTTATTCACATAGTATCTTACATTTTTGCCAGTGACATGTTTGTATTTCTCTGCTCCCCCTGAAGCAACAAAGGTATGGAGCACTTGTACAGTATGAAGTGCAAGAACAGGGTTCCACTGTATGATCTTCTGCTAGAGATGCTGGACGCTCATCGGCTTCACTCCTCAGGCAAGACGCCCCCTAACTGGGCCCAAAGCGAGAGGGGCCTCCCCTTCCACTAGCCAAAGCAACAGCAGCGGCCTCTCCCACATGCCCCGGCGGAGCCAAATCCAGCACGACATGACAGAAGCCACGGACCCTGAAACCACAGCTGATGACTCCAGTTCCATATACTGAGAAATTTATTTTTTAAGCTGGAGTCATGTAAGTGTGGCCTGTGAGAAAATTACCAATCAGGTCAATGGCAGCAGTTTTGAGATGTCTGAGGTCATGTTTGGAGATAAGGTCCTTTCAGCTGAAGATTCTGGCTGAAGGTAGATCTGTCCAGGTGTGCACAGGCCTTCAACCAAGTCCAGATTGAGGTCTCCCCCCATAACCAATGAGACGTGTGAAGGAAGCTAGATTATCCTTCAGATGTATCTTTTGGCAGAGCTGTGTTGATGTAACATGGTCTTAAAGCCAACTGGACTAGAACCTAGAAAACGAATCGGCTGTAGTTTTCTGTATATGACTCAAGGACTGAAAAACTGTACAGTGGAAAAATAATTTACTCTGTAACTAACAGAACATGCATCTGTTCAGCGCTGCAGTCTTACAAATGCCGCTAATTTCTACATTTGTGGCTCACCTATAACAATGGAGGAAATTCAATCACGACTTGCAACAGCTTTCAACTGAGCTGAGATTCATAGAGAAGAGTAATTTAATGACCAACAGTGTTACTTTTAATGCAGTGTCACAGTGCTTCAGTTTTTATTCTCACTGCTGCACTAATATGCCAGCCTGTCAGAATAAGGGTACAAATGTGAAATCAAAAATGCTTATAAGGTGTGTATTGCTCTTCTCTCAGTATTGTAATAACTATTCTGAAGGAATGTATGCCTTAAAATAATTGTATATTCGTTTTGGTGTTTAATTTCTGGCATTAATGTTTGAGGCTTTGATCTGCTTGCTGATTTTTCTTTCATTCACTCACTCACTGAATTATGTTTAAAGAAGAGTACACTGCATTCATCAGCATCAAGGCCTGGTGGTTATCAGTGATCATTTTTATAGTCAGCCTACATGTTTTAATTTATAATACTGTTATAAAAAGGAATAGTGATGGAAATTATTATATTTAGGCAAAAAAAAGGATTGTTTTTACAGGGCCTTAATAAAGAGAGTAAACAAACATTACTTCATAAACATTAGTTCACACAAACATAAAAAAAGATTGACCCAGAATAATATTTAGTATATATTAAATGGAAAGACATTTTTTGCTGTGAGCATTAGCAAACTGTACATACATAAATAAGCACTGACAATTTCATAATTAATTTTTATACATTTTTAACAACCTAGTGAGCTACCAAGTCAGTCATAGTTGCCAAACCTTAAAAAAAAGGTGTCTTTCATAAACCAGCAACACTTTCAGTGATTGTTTGGTGTGTTTCAAAAACATAACGCATTAACCGCATGCCTTGAAATAAAAGTAGAAAAATTAAATAAAATAACTGCACGTCTAATAGCCTTACAAATATTTCTCAAAAATCACTTTGACGTTTGTATATAGCGTTTTTGTCTTAAATAAAACATTTAAATGAAAAAATAATTTTCTTAGACCAAGCAAATAACACTGGCCATTTTGTTGGACGGTTTAAGTGCAGTACCTTGAAATGAGCTCAAGTCAGTGCTGTAGCTTACATCAGATTCACTCTTCTGATTCATGAGGGATGGGAAAGTACAATTCGCTGCTTTTTCTTCTAGGGGTCAGACCTGCCATTAGGAGACCCTCATTACATTTTGATTGCAGTTCATAATTTAAATAATATAACAAAATAAAAACAAAATAGCAGCGGTATTTAACTGTACAAGAATAAATCAGCTTTGGCTAACAAACAGTCATTGTTGTCAATACTTTGCTGGATCCTTAAGAAAGTCTGAAATGAATGAAACAGCCAGCTCATATGGGTGGAGGACCGTTGGTGTAACGGAGCATGGGGTGGAATGAGCGGGCGAAGTTGTTGGCGTGGGCGCAGCTGTAGTCCTCCTCAGTCATGGGCACTAGACAAGCCAAGCCCACGATGAGCAGCAGCAGGAGCTGCAGCGGGAGAGCGGCTCGGAGCACTCGCAGCAGGAAGGGCTGGCAGCGGCCTGCAGCAGCGCCACCTCGAGGCCCGGACGAACCAGAGTGAGAGGAAGCGCAAGCAGAACCCCCGGGGGACCTGAGTGAAAGACCAGATAACACTCATGAGACCACTCCCTCAGAATCACAGCACAGTCATGAACAAACTGCAATGCTTAACCCCTTAAACAGCAGACTTATTATTCAGTTATTAATTTTACAACTTATTCATGTGGGTTTGAGTTGAGTTGAAATGTATAGCCTCACACATGGATGAACCCTTAGTACTTAAGAGGTTAACAAGAATGGTTTGGCAAAAAAAATAAAAAATTATAAAGAATATTTATGATGTACAAATCACACAATTCTTCTTCGTTACACATTTTACAAGCATTTATTAATGTTACTTGAATTCCATATTTTTTTTTTTAACCAAAGACTTGCATCCAATTTTGCTCCCTGAAAGGAGGCAGATGAGTGGGATGTATTCTGTTCACTATGTGAAGGTTCAATGTCATGGCCAATTCTAGCCAGACTAAAGAATGCTAATAATGCTCTCTCCCACAGCTACAAGTGAAAAGAACACCACGTTCTTCCGCCTAAAAACTGCAGTAGGGAGGCCAATGATCTCTCCCACTTTCCTCCACACTCATCTTTAATTAAAGAATGTCTGACTTGATCATCTCTTTAGTAACTACTATATAATGATTCCTGCATACTTTGCAAAAACATTTTTAAGCCAGTAGGAGGCTCTGTGTGTCTCTGTGTATCTGTATTAATTACTGTTACTGCTTGTGTGAAACGACTGGTCTTTGGAATGTTTCATTTTTACAGCTGAGAAAAAAAAGACAGGTGCCACAAAGCATTGTTTGCACAAAACAACCTGCAAAAGCTGCAAAAACAATGAAAGCAACACAAGAAAACTGGGAAAAAAATGTTTAAAAGTTAAAGATCTGTTCCGACATAATCTTACATGTGGATTCTAGACTTTTAGAGAGATGATGGTATAAATATGCCTAACTTTCTCAAAACGCTTTGTTTTGCCACTAGAAGTAGAAACGCTGCTGCTCAGTGTATTTCCTGCACTGACACACTGAATCCAAGCAAATTTTTCAATTTTGTTTTGTTCTAAAGCAGGTGTGTCAGAACAGGAGAACACTATACTGTGCAGTGATGAACACAAAGGAGCCCTGAAACTCCTTTTAGAATGACTCCCTTTCTGGCTCTCAGTGTAAAGCAAACTACACTGAAACTACAAAGGTCCCCTCGTCAGTTTCTGTGGCTCTGGCGTTCCAATGTCAGTTCCATCATCCCCCCACCGTTCTAGAGTCCAGTAGAGAGGTACCTGCGGCGTGGGACGCTGGCTGAGGATCCTGCTTCTGACACAATACATTTGCCTCGTAGCTGTTGTGCAATGAGCAAAAGGGAGGGAGGGGGTAAAAGAAAGAAAGAATGTTTCAGTCCAAGCAAATAAAGACAAAGCTTGTGGTCACAAGCAGAGACATATAGCCAGGCCATCAGTCATTGATAACAATGAAAGCAAAATGAGAAAGCAAAATAATCCAGGCAGGATGACAAAAGGATTTAGCACAAAGCAAGAAACCTGGCTTTCCAGAGCAGACGTTTCTGTGAGAAACTGCTTAGAAATGCAGTGTTTAACATTTAGAATATGTCTGAAGTGTAAAGCCAGTATTTCTTGTACATTCATTTCTTTATGTGATCATCTTATGATGGTCACAATTAAAAAGGTTATGCAAACCAAAGTATTTCTCAGGGACAAACAAATACAAAACTTCCATGCTCCATAAGCGCTGCAGATAGCAACTCGCACAAGTTTCAACTTTGACCTATCGATAAATGTTTCACTTTTTTCAGTATTTAAAGTCAAAGTTCACTTTATTGTTATATCCCCTGAATGTTATAAGATTACATATTTAACCAGGTAAGATCGTATTTATAAGAGACACCTGGTCAAAAATGCCAGAAAGATTCCCCCCCCAGGTTTTACAGTCTAGCTGTACAGTCTGTTCACAGAAGGGTGCAGACGCTACTGCATGCCACAACCAATATGATTAAATGGAGAAGAGATTCATTACCGAATGATGCTGAACAGGCACATTGACCACAGACACAGGACTGGCAGATCCTGATGTATCGACATCATCAACGGCAGACCAAACAGACAGGTCCTGGGAAGAAGGGAGGTTAAGAGTGAGAATAGAAATGGACAAAATTAATTTAGATTAAGAATTTGGTGTAGAAATTATAAGTTTGATCTTTGTATACAGTAATGTCATTTAGAGGATTTTCAAGATTGTCTTAACATAAACCCATGACACTTAGCAAGGTCATGTAGGATTTCTCAGTAAACTGGATAAGTTATGCCCAAAGTAGGAATTACCCAATAGGAATGTCCTCTCTAAAGTTCATAGGTTTATGCTGCCTGCCCAAGAAATGCATATATAAATTAGCTAGTAACTATGGTTAAAAGCATCTTTATTTCCTTGAGATTAAAGTTTTTGTACTTTGTTAACATAAACACAATAATAAATAGGGATACAAACACTACTACTTCATAAATGGGAAATTTAATTACATTTATCTGTCACATCTTGGAATAACAAGCTGTAATTACAACCAATATTTTAGCGTCTTATTTTTAGCTCTGGCATATGCGGAGACACATCACAATTGGGCTAGACTCCCAGTCTTACATTCACCTATCGCTGTAAAATGATCTAGATGAGACTGTCTGATAATTCATCCACTTATTTACATTTTACAAGGTAAAAGTTACTCAGTTACTGGCAATAGGCCTCATTCAGCAATGTCTTCTTAAGTTATTTTTTAATGTGTTCTTGCGAAAGGTCCTACGAAAAAGTCTACGTCAGATTCATGACGTGTTCTTAAACCGCAGAACTGTTCACACTTTTAAGTTCTCCAGTGTGTGTAGATTTTGTTCTTACCTAAGAACAAATCCCAATAAGAAACTGGTGAACATTGGAATCTCAGTGAAAACTGTGTAAGTTGGTTTTAAGAAGAAATTTTCTTAAGAATAGTTGGTGAATAAAGACCACTGTTATCAGCCACAAGGTGTGAATTACGGGTTTTCGTAGTGATCCAGAATTTCTCGTGCATCCCTAATAACGTACTATACTAATTTCATATGTCACCATTTCAGATAAAATTCCTGTTAGGAGCAGAGATGTCTTGGACTGACCTGTGTGTCTCCAAAGGCCTTGAGTTCTCGCTCCAGCAGCTGCAGATCAGAGGCCACAGCCTTGAGCAGCAGGCGGAGACGGTTCCCGATGACATGCACCCTCTCCTGGGCCTCCAGACACTCGCTGCCCTGTGCCTGAACGAGCAGCTGCACAGAAAGCTCCTGCAGGATGCTCACCCTCTGCTCCGAATCCATGAGTTCCTGCTGGATTTGCTGCATACAGACACACAAAGGAAAATGTTACTTATCTGCTAAATCAGAGCTTTGTAATAAGTTTATTTTATTGTTTGGAGAACCTGGTCAAACTGCTCCTCCTGAATATGCTGGGTATTGCATGATTGCAATTTGATTCACTTGCAATGAGTCAATTATTCAATTCTACCAAAAAGAAAATTCTCAAGCTGATTTCAAACATCAAAACAACTATTTACAACTGAGTAAATAGTTCCTCTAGTCACATCACTGTATATTTAAATAGATTTCAGATTCAAATATAAGTGAGTGGAAACATGGTAAATTGAGTTTTTATGATCCACTGAATCTTTTCTCAAAGACTTCTAAGTGAAGTGAATTTG